TTTTTGTTTCAGTCTACATTCTCTCTCTTGTTTGGAGGGAATAATTTCATTATTCTATATTCAAATTTACTGATTCTTTCCTCTATTACCCCCATTTTACTGTCATGAGGAGAGGCAGAAGAAAACTATAAGAAAATGTAATAATTTGTATCTTCTGGATATAGAAGGACTTTTTGATGGTTAAAAATAAAGATAGAAATCATATAGGGAAAACCTTAATAGATTCCAATACTCAAAATTTTAAACTTCTATAAGAGCATGAAAAAAATCATTAATAGATTAGTAGCAAATGTCAAAATGTATGTGCCACATATATGATAACAAGTAATGTTTCTAACATATAAAGTGAGAAAAACATCAATGCTCTATGTGGGTACATAGAGAATTCACTGAGGAGGAAATATAAATGAGCAATATAGATTAGAAAAAATTTTAACCTCATAACTGTTTAAAGAAATGCAAATTAAAGCAGGGTACCATGTTCTCCCTATCCGATTAGTAAACTTTTAAAACTGTGCCTCCCCAGCTATGGTGACAGGCGGTGAAAATATACACTCAGATGATGGGTCTACATGATGCAACCTCCGGGTATGAGCCAGAAATTCTACTTTGAGGAATATTTCCTGAGGAAATTATCCAAAATACCAAGGCTTATGAATAATGACATTCACAGCGGCATTATTTATAATAAAAAAATCTTGAGGGGCTGTTGCATACTTAGCAGAATGATCATCATTGTTGACGTTAACCCAGCATCCACCTTGAGCCAGGAAGTGCTGTCCACTCAGCCCCGTGACAGCCCTTTGATGTCAAACCTGCTACCATCCCCATTCTACAGAACAGATTGCCCTGGTCACACCCCATCCCCGAGAGTGGTGGAGACACATGATTCATTCTGTCCTGGCTCTGTCCAGCTGCAGCGCATCTTCTGGGCAGTTGGAAACAATGATAATCATGAGAGTGTTTTTAACAAAGTAGGGACATGTTTACAATATGATGCTAAATGAAAAGGGAGGATCCAGAATCACTCTATAATTTTAAGTGGAAAGGGTATAAAATTGCTGCAAAATGCAGCATTCAGAGAAGGAAGGAATCTGAGAAGTAAGAGGTTGGAGGAGAGAAGGTGGACAGAGGGACCATGGGGGCAGTGCAGGCACAAGGGGTGAAGGGTGGGGGGTGGGGGGCTGCTTCTGGCTCCCGGGGGCATTGCTGCCATTTCACAGGGCCTTGGCTGGCCTCCCCTGGGCTCTGGTGGGGTCTTGGATCACACAGAGACCACCATTCAGTGTGGTCTGCAAAGGGATGAGGGGTCTGCAGGACCCTGGGGTTCTGTCAGTCAGAGCTCCCTGGCTCCCACTCCCCAACCCTCTGGGGAATGTAAAGCAACAGTGCCCTCCAGTTTTGACAAACAGCCAGTGGCACCCACTCTGTTGGATGGCACTGAAGTCGGATGAGCTGTGAAGGTCAAGGGAGCCAGGAGAGATGTCTCAGGAACCTGGAAGACACTATGGAATGGCAGCAGAGGACCCAGGATCGGCGACGGCATCCCCTCCAATCTTGCAGCCTCCACAGTGGAGGGCTTCATAAGCAATGGTGAAACTAAGGCAAAAAGAGGCCCATTCACTAGTCTGGATTGTGAACTCATTGGCTGTTTGTCAAAGGAGTTCTGCGCATCAGCACAGGAGCCCATGCCCCTCCCATGCAGGCCCCCTCAGGCCTCCAGAGCAGGGCCCAGTGATGCTGGAGACCCAGGCTGCTTCTCAGAGTACTGAGCTTCATCGAGAAAGGGCAGCAGGCAGTGCTCTGTGCTCAGAGGCTCCGCAAACATCTGCTGCACTGAAGGAAAACCTCCTTAACTCTTTCAAAGCTGAAAGATAGAAGGAACATTGTTTTTCACTTCCTCCGAAACAAAATTTGTTAACTAAGAGCTTCCCAAACCCCAATCCCCAGGAATCAGGAGCCTAAATTTAGATTGTCCTTGGAAGGTCACTGGATCACCCTGGCGAAGGGTCAGCCAGCAGCTGCTCAAGATAAACTTTACTTTTCTGCCGACTCAGGCCTTTCCCTCACACAATTAATGAGATCCTGCCACACTTCCCCTGGGAAGAGAACAATAGCTGTGGATGAGCAGGTGGCCTTGGCCAGCACGCTGGCCTGGGAGCCCCTCGCCAGAGATCAGGCATTCGCGTCCCTGCCCAGGCCAGGACCGCTCTGATGCGGGCCTGCAGGCCCTAGCCCACCGAACCACCCAGCCTCTGTCTGTCCCTTGGACGCCGAGCCCCTTCCCACCTCGGGCTCTTAAGTGGTCATTCTTCCCTAGATCTTGGCTGAACTGTCAGCTCCTCAGAGGGGCCCTCCTCACTCTGCGTCACGCTGCCGTCTCTTCCCCGAAGCCGTGGGCACCCCTGAAACGGCTCTACCCACCTGCTAGTTGCAGGTTTTGCTGTTGGTTTCTGGAGGGCAGGAGCTCCCTGGGCTGTGTGCTCTGCTCAGAGACAGCACTTGGCACCTTGTAGGGGGTCAGGAGATCCTAGCCAGTGGAAGGAAGGGCGGGTGTGTCCTCATGGCCCTCCTGGGTCTGTGCTGGGTCACTGTGAGGCCCCTCCTGATCAGTGTGGGTTTGTGGGGGTCAGTGTCAGCCCTTTCTGCCCTCTCTGGGCCTCTCTGTGGTGGCTCTGATTCCACTGTGGGCGACACGGTGGTGTCAGGGTAGAAGTCAGATTGTGATAAGTGCAGCCTGAGGCTCCTTCACCAGCTCCCCGAGATACCATGAGGCTGTTCCCAAAGAGATGTGGGCCACACTGGGGGTGCCAGGCTGGGGGGGTCTCTGGGATGGGCCCAAAGTGGTTGGAGAGAAGGACAGCAGCTGGGCAGGCAAAGGGAGAGCGCCTCGTGCTGGCTGGAGCCCCAAGCTGGCTGGAGAGGGTGGTAGGCGGCCAGAGGTCAGCCGTGGCTCACAGGCAGTCCCCTGCCTGGACAGAGGCATGAAAATGGCCACTGTGTTGAGGCTCATTCCTGGATACTGGTGGGGAAAACCAACAAGCAAATGGACAATTCCAGCTTGGGCCTCTGGGAGCAAGGCAGGTGGACTGGGGCAGAAAGGCATCCGAGAGGACGTGACCTCGGTAACACAACTTAGAAGATGAGCAGGTCCACACTCAAGGGACCTGCACTGCAGACAGAAGAGGCTGTGGGTGAGAGACAGACCAGTCTGAGGACCCAGAGGTAGGCGAGTCTGGATGGAGCATGGAGTGTGTGCTGCTGCACTAGCTAGGCCCAACATCACCCAGAGGCCATGCTCGGGAGTCAGCACTTTGTTCATGGGCAGTGTGAGCCACAGAAGGTTTCAGGCAGACTGTGACCCCGGAGAGGGACCTGCCAGGAGGGCCCAGCTTCGCTGAGGAGAATAGATCCAGCGGGCAAGGGCAGGGCCTGGATGGCCTGAGGAGGCCACAGCAGTCTCCTGGGAAGATGGCAGTGCGGTGTAGTGGGAGGGCCTTGGGCAAGTCCCTGTCTCAGGCCAGCGGGGAACAGGATTGAAAGGGTGGGGTGGGTGGTATGGCTGGGCCCCCTAGAGTGGGCAGGAGGAGGGGACATCCAGGAGGGTCTGCAGGGTGGAGGGGGAGGGGCCCACAGGTCTGCAGCAAGAAGGGAGCAGGGAGTAAGGTGGTGGCTGAGAGGAGGCAGTGGTCCTCAACTCCCCATCCTGTGTAGGGAGTGAGGGGTTGGGGGCTAGGAAGGCGGTAAACTCCTGCTACCACACACACACACACACACAGACAGGGTCCAGCAAACCTGCCTTGGGCACCTCCACATGCTGGATGAACAAATAGGGTGCTGGCCTCATCTCAGAGCTATCTGAGGCGGGAGAAGGAACAGGGCCCAGGAAGGGCAGATTCGTCAAAGCCCCAGGCCGTGGCGGGCCTCAACACCAGGCCTTCTCTGTGGAGGGCCCTGCCTGCTGGAGCCAAGCACCTCGGACGGGAGGAAAGAACAGGGTGTCCCAGCGGCCTCAGTTCAAGACTGAGTGCAGACTTCACTGGAAACAAAAGGGCTGACAGGGAGTGGGGAGGGGGCTGCAAGAAAAGGGCTGGTGTCCCTATGGGATTTTTGGCTGCCGGGCCTGGTGCCTCCACCTGAGCCTCAGGGGGGCCCAGTGTCCATCCTAGCTGGCCTTTCAAGAAACGGCTGGGCCATTGTGCAGAAGAATGCCCGGAAATCCCGACCCTCCCGCCTCCAGCAAGGATGGGGGCTCTTCCTCCGGGTCAGGAAACTCCAAGTTGGCTTCCGGAGGGTGGCCTGGGGGCTGGGGTGCCGGGAGTATCACTGCCACTAGTGGGAGGACAGCGCACAGCCCTTTGTGTCCCCGAGTGTGTCTCCTGAGGGCCAGGCCTTGGGGCCTGGAGCCACTCCCGGGAGGACAGCCTGCATGCTGGTCCTCGGGGAACTCTGGGGACTTCCTGAAGTGCTGTCATCTGGAGCTGGGCCTCAAAGGATGGGGGATGGGCAGCATCTCAGGAAGAGGAACAGCCCGTGCGAAAGTTGGGGGGTCTGGGAAGGCTAGAGGCAGGGGCGGAGTAGGGGTCTCCGGAGGCCGTGGAAAGGCCTGCTTTGTGCTGGGGCCTCAGGCCCCAGGGAGGCGGTGATCTGGTGGGCGGTGGCGCTGGGCAGGCATTTGGACGGGGCTGGAGCCCCAGGACTGACCCGCACAGGCCTGCCTGGCCTCTTGGCCTGTGGGAGAGAGTCTCAGGACTCAGAGCGGCGCCGTGCAGTAAGGGTGTGAAGGGCCTGGGCTGGGCGTGGACTCCAGGGCGAGCTTCCTGGAGGAGTAGACTGAGCTGTGCTTGATTAACCCGGGAGAAGGGCCCCTAGAGTCCGTCACGCAGGCCTCTGCGCGGTGGTGGTGGTGGCGGGGAGCTCCCGCAAACCTTGGCGAGGGAAGAGCGGAGTTGGCCTGGGTGGGAGGGACCATCAGGCTGGTTCGGGGATGTGGCGGGGGAAGTTGGTACGGACCCAGGTGATGCAGCTCCTTAAATGGGGAGGCTGGGACACTCAAAGAGGTGGCCCGCGGACCGTGCGCGCAGCTGCCCCAAGCCAGCCCGCAGCGCGCTCGGCCGTGACTGCGCCAACTATGTGTGGGGGGCTCGGGGCGGCGGCCGGACAAGGAGCGGTCCCGGCGCCCTCCGCTCCCCCAACGCGCAGTTGTTCTCCTAACTGTCTGCCGGGGCGCCTGTGATTGGCTGCAGACCGCTGGCCCCCACGCGGATTGGCCGCTCAGGCACAGGGGGCCTGGACCGAGGAGCAGAGTCCGCCCCCGAACCTTCAAATGGGAAGCCCCCGGAAAGTGCCCGCACACCCGAGGCTGTTCTGCAGACCCGCGGGGTAGGCGGACGGAGGGCGGTGAGCCGAGCACGAGGGCGCGGAGGCATTAGGGCCAGCGCAGGGCGCCGAACCGCTCGGCCGAGACACCGCTGCGCCCGCCCGGAGGCCCCGGGGCCGTCGGGCGTGCGTCTTGCCTCCAGCCATGGGGTCGGCGGCGCTGGAGATCCTCGGCTTGGTGCTGTGCCTGGTGGGCTGGGTGGGCCTGATCTTGTCGTGCGGGCTGCCTATGTGGCAGGTGACTGCCTTCCTGGACCACAACATCGTGACGGCGCAGACAACCTGGAAGGGGCTATGGATGTCGTGTGTGGTGCAGAGCACGGGGCACATGCAGTGCAAGGTGTACGACTCGGTGCTGGCGCTGAGCACCGAGGTGCAGGCGGCGCGGGCGCTCACGGTGGGCGCCGTGCTGCTGGCACTCGTCGCGCTCTTCGTGACCCTGGCGGGCGCGCAGTGCACCACCTGCGTGGCCCCTGGGCCCGGCAAGGCGCGCGTAGCCCTCACCGGCGGCGCGCTCTACGCGCTCTGCGGGCTGCTGGCGCTCGTGCCGCTCTGCTGGTTCGCCAACATCGTGGTCCGCGAGTTCTATGACCCGGCGGTGCCCATGTCGCAGAAGTACGAGCTGGGCGCGGCGCTGTACATCGGCTGGGCCGCCTCAGCGCTGCTCATGTGCGGCGGCGGGCTCGTGTGCTGCGGAGCCTGGGTCTGCGCCGGCCGCCCCGACCTCAGCTTCCCCGTCAAGTACTCGGCGCCGCGGCGGCCCACGGCCAGCGGTGACTACGACAAGAAGAACTATGTCTGATGGTGCCGGGCACGGCGGGGCCCCTCGCACCAGCCACGCCCGCGAGCGGGAGGACTGGCCTCCACCCGGCCGCGCCGCGCACAGGCTCCGCGGAATGCCCATCTCTGCGCCCGCCCGCGGCCCTCCAACGGGACCCTGCCCGCCCCCGCAGCCCGTCCTCTCTGACTGCCGCTAGCTGGGCCTTGGGCCGCGCGCTGCCCTGAACAGGCGATGCGCCCTTGGGAGGTCTTCCTCCGTTTCTTTTTCCGTGCGCAGTGCTGGCTCCAACGTGGGCGGGGCGCGGGTTTCTTCGGCTGTGAGGGCTCTGGACTGAAGATGCTGCTTCTCTCCCTGACCCTTGGGGTCTTGGATGCCCCCATACTCTCCAGCGGCTCCTGCTGATTCCAGAGGGGCTGATGCAGAGCCCAGGACCCCCAGCCTGGGCTGCCTGAGGGATGTGTACTGCTGGCCTTTACCCCATCAGCCAGGCCTGGGCCCGGGGGGACCAAGAGATCGGCCTGGACCTCCCTGCCTCACCCCAGCAGCTCCCCAGGCGAGGCTTATGGGCACCAGAGCCCGCGTGTGGGGCTGGGGCTCTGCTCTCCTCTGCAGCTTGGCGGGGAGGGTAAGAATTCGCTTAGTAAATGGTTTCAATACCCTCCCAGCTGTGTCCTGTCCTCTGTCAGTCTCTGCCTGTGTCCAGCACCCTCCCTTCATTCATCCACCCACCAGCTCCTCCCCAAAAGGCTTCTGTGGGGACTTCCCAGAGCTGGCCCCTGGCTCCAGAAGATCCCATGGCCTTTTGCCAAGTCTTCTCTGCCACCTGGTCACCTTTCCTGAATGAGAAACAGCCACAGCTCACTGCCACCCAGGAAGGTGAGATCTGCAATCAAAAGAGCCACTGCTGAATCAGGGAGCTGGGGAGGAGGGGGGAAGTGAGGCAGACCCTAGCAGAGGATGCAGGCTGGAACCCCCACCCCTGACTCAGCCAGTGCTTGGTTTTGGAATGCAGGAAGTACTGGGGGTAGGCTGCCAGGCTGCTGGCTTTGCCTAGAAGAGGCTGGGCTGAATCCACCTGCCTTCTCAGGGCTCGCCTATCTCTGGGTCACATCAAATGACCAGACAGACATCTGTACAATACCAACTGGGTGGGCCCTTTCTACCAAGGGTGCAACGGAATGGGTCAATCCAGGATGTGTGCTGGGCTCTAGCAGAGCTGGCTGCAGGTCAACAAGCACCTTGCCATGGGGAGGAGGCACCTGTGGCCAGTTGCCCAGAGAGTGCCTGGGCTGGGCTCCAGCCCCTCTGTCCTGGCTCTTCTGCCAGCCTCAGTGTGGGTCTGTGCAGGGCCCATGCCCACCGAGCTGGCTTGGCGACCAGCCGACTTGTGCTGACCATCAGTACCTCTGTGCCAGGCCCTACTGGGAGCACCCTGAGTGACTCTCTTGTGGGTGGGACCCCTGGGAGCCAGGGCTGGCCCCGGCCAGGCACCTGGAGATGGGGGTCCCAGGAGGGCAGAGCATACCAGAGCTGTATGTTATAGCTACCGAGAGCTCAATGCTTCCAGCTCTAATTCTAGACACTTTGAATTAATGCATTTTGACTGTCTGCCAAAGGGTGGGGCATGAGAGAGCAGTGGACAGGTGCAGGGGCTACAGGGAGGAGCTCCAAGCCCAGTCAGTGGGACAGCTTGGCACCTGCCACCAACGCCAGCCTTGGGGGCCCTGTCCAGAAATGCCTGGGCTGCATCCAGTGGCAAGGAGTCTCCCAGGCCTGGCCAGGATCCCACGTTGTGGGAAAGGGGGAGAACCTGAGGACATGGGCTCAGAGGGGCTCAGGACAGCTGCTGTGGACACTGCCCTGAATCCCAGGAGTTCCAGTGGAACCAGCAAGTGGGAGCCTGAGCTCCCAACGACAGGATGAGCTGCAGAGGGATGGGCCCCATGGCGCAGAGGTCCTCAGCAGTGAGCCCATGGCAGCCCTGCCTGGGCCTGTGCACCAGGGACCAAGAACAGCCCTGGTGTGCAGGAGTGTGATCTTGGCTCTTGGCAGGGCTGGAACAAAGGTCCTCACACTGCTGCTCCCGGCCGCGGGGGCAGCCAGTGCCAGGTACAAGGTGTTTGGACAGAAGCGCCAGCCCGAGGCAGCATCCCACACAAGCCCAGAACTCGCCGACTCCTTCAGGCCCCAGGCATCAGCTGGGATTCCGAAGGCAGCTGCACAGCCCCAGCTTTCACAAATGGTGGGGAGCTTGAGGGTCCTGGGGGAGCCAGGCTGCCGCCTGACCAGGAAGAGCAGGAAGGGCAGGAGCAAACTCCACTGCCAGAAGTCAGGCGAGAAAAGCTGACCTCTAGTGCTGCTGACCCCGCTGTGCCCACTACCCCTTCTCAAGGGCCACCCGAGACCTGGCCCCACACACTCATGTCCTCAGTTCCAGGTCACTCTTTCTGGGCCTTTCTCCACCAACCGGAAGCCTTCCCAAACCGCCCTGAGTCCTCCAGCCTGTGGCCCCAGGCGCCACACCCAGGCCCCATCTCTCTGGCTCGCCTGCTTCCCTGGCAGCTCCGCCCCAGGCGGGGGCCACAGACGGCCTCAGCCACTTGTGTGAGCAGCTCTTTCCTCCCCGAAGGGCAGGAATGGCATCCTCTGCACCTCCATATGCTCTAGGCACAGATGGGAGAGTGGGACCAGCTGGTCCCCCGCTCCCCTGAGAATCTGTTCTGAAGACTCTGGAGCTTGTTGAGATCCTGTCCAGCAGACCTTCTGTGACAAGGCGCAGGTGAAGCCAGCCTTGGGAGTACAGTGCCTCCACCTGTGGCCCCTCAGCCAGCCCTGCCATTCCCGGCTTAGGGCCTCGCCCTTGCTATTGCTGCCCAACTTGCCCAGCAGCCTGGCAGTGCCTGCTGTGTGCCTGCAGGGGTGAAGGGCGCCTGGACAGCTTCGGGGGGCAGGGGCAGGCTCGAGATGGGAGCACGGTCAAGATGGTGGACTTGAGATGCTGCCAAGGCCAGGTGGACAGGGGGCAGTGGTAGGAGGGTGGACAGAGCAGGTCCTGGCTGGCATCACTAGGCAGTGGGTCAGCACAGCTGCTGTGTGAAGAACTAGGTGCTAAGGGGCCCAGCGTCTGCCTATTGCTGTCCAGGGAGCCTGGAGGCCACCCCCTGTGCTGACTTCCTGCCAAGGCTCGAGGGTGCCCAGGGCACAGGAGCAAGGCTCCCCTGGACCCACCGAAGGCGCAGGGCATGACCAAGCGCCGGCCCTGTGACCAGAGCCAAGACTGGAGCACTGAACCGAAAATAAGCATTTTATTCCATTAAAACCAACTGCTCTGACTCTAAAATTATGTCCTAACTTACAATCCAAATAAAAGCCAGTTAATATAAATAAGGAGGAGGAGGTCATTTCTGAAGAAATCAGACTGGAAAAGAGAAAAAGAGAAATAAGTAAATTTCAAACATTCTGATGTCTCCCCAAATCAAGCAAACTGTCCAGGCCTTCCCTTGGACATGCTGGGTGTTGCTTCTGCGCAGCCTCCACCCCTCACGGGGGGAGCAGGGGGAGTCCATGGGTGGAGGGCCACCCCAGAACTGCCGAGGCACCTGCCGTCCCCACTGCAGCCCCTGGCTGGGTCCAGGCTGCTGTCCGCTTGAGAACCCCCGAAGGCCGCACAGCCCCCAGCACTGTCTCTTTGCAGACCCTGCCCAGCGACCTGTCCAGCCCCCGACCTGAGGTGCCCTCACAGGGTTTCTCCCCTTGCCTAGGGCATCTCCCCTGGTCCCCAGCACACTGCTCCTCATCCTTCCCGCTGGCCCCTGCACTCTGTCTTGGTGGCAGGACACAGCAGAGCTGGTATCATCACTGAGCGGTCGCAGGGCAGGGGTACACCTCAAATGCCAGCCCCACTGCCCGAGAGCCCCACTTGCAACCTTTGACTTGGTCATAAACTTACACCTCTGCCCCCACCTGAAGGCCCTGTGCTCAGCACTTGTTGTCCAAGGGGTGTCAGCCCCATTTCAGATGAGGAAGCAGGTGCAGCCTGGTGAGGTACCCGACAGACCTTGCTGAAGATCCAAAGGGCCTGACCCCAGAGCCCCTCTTCCACACGGGCCCTGTGTGCCCCGGCCCACCCTGAGAGGGCATGTGGGGTCCCTGACGCCCCCTATGCCATTCTCGGCAGAGCCCACTTGGGCTCGACAGGGGAATGGGTGCCTGCCCCCCTGCAGCTTCTAGCTCACTGTGGGAGTGGGGAGCGGAAGGACCCTGGCCGGCACGAGGGGATCCCTATGTCACAGCCTGGGCTGGGCGTGGGTGCCCACTGTGTGAGGGGCCCTGGGCTGAGAAGTGATCACTAGACACCAATCAGACCCTCCCACCCATTTCCCAAGGGGCCCTTCAAGAAAGAGGTGGCATGTGGGGCACAGGGGAGAGCCCCGGCTGTTGAGCTCACAGTGGACTGTTAGTGACTGCATGCTGGTGCAGGCTTACACAGAGCGGACATTTTGTGATTCTCAGCTGAGTGGCTGCCAACAGCTTTCATCTCTCAAAAGTCAAGCGCACGAGAGCCGGGATAAACGCCTCTGCGGGCCCCAGCCCAGAGCCTGACATGAGGCTGCAAGGGGCAGCAAGGCTCCAGGTGGACCCCTAGGGGTGCCCTCCTTCCCAGCAGAGCCAGGCCTACGAGTCCGTGGTGTGGTCAGGAGAGGGTAAATGCCAGTTCTTTCTGAAGGGATCCCAGGAGCCTAATGAAATTAGCTCCCTCAACAATGCTCCATTGTGGCACTGCCACCAGGCCAGGGACAGACATCCTCGGGAAAAATGTGTTGGCCCCAAATCTCCTCAGGAGTTCTGTTCCCAGGAGCTCTGAAACCCAAGTAGAAGCCTGGCTTGAGAAGGAAAGAAGCAGGGAAACCAAAACGGGGAGGTGGGAGGGGCCCTCTGTGCACTTCAACAGGGCCGCTGCCTGCCGCCTCCAAGGGCCCCAGTGAACACCAGCACCCCCAACTCACCCTCAGGACAGGAGGGAAACAAGTGCATCCAGAAATTTGCTCCGATCTTCTGCTTTCAGCTCAATTACTTAAGTAATGAAAGAAAAACATCTTGTGAGACGGAGGAGTAGGGACAGGAGTGAGAAAAACAAGTCAGAGTATATTAACTCCCTCGTTTCGATCATCCAAGAGCGGAGTAACCTTCCAGCACATTCCAAAATGGAGTCGCCTCCTCAATGGCCTGGAATATTCTGGACTAATTCTCTGTCCCTCTGTATTCAATCCTCAGAAACTGCTGGCTGCCCTGTTGGTGAGGCTGGGGTTGTGGTCTGTGGGGAAGGCCCTCCAGACAGCCAGGTGACCAGCAGTGACAGCCAATGTAGGGGACCTGGGGGATGTGACGACTCAGAACACCACAGATCTGGGCAGAGCCCTGTCCCACGGTGGGGTGTGGGAGGCCCTGAGGAAGGGCAGGAGGTCAGCCTTCCGTCTCGCTCTGGCCAGTCTCTCAGCTTCAGTGTTCTCTTCTGTAGAAGGGGGACATGATGCAAACTGCCCCTGTCCCTGGGGGGCCATGCGGCTCAGACAAGCATGTGGGCCCTCATCAGCCTGGGCAGAACTGGGCCCACCTGGTCCTGTAAGCCATTTGTGCCTCAGGCCATGGCTCTAGAAGCCCCAGGCCCAGCCCACCCAGGCTCCCTCTGACCTCAGGTGCTCCCCTCACAGGGGAGGTCAAATCCTCCCACAAACCCCAGCCCACAAACCTCCCTGTGCGGAGAGGCCGGGACATCCTGCAGGCCAGCCCACGCCCACCTCTGCTGCTTTGTGGGCATAAAACAGGACTCGGTGGGCTGCTGCTGGAGGTGAACCCACACCACACAGCCGCAGCCTGAGCTGGCCCAGCGAGAAGCCGACTCTGGACAACCGAGGCCACTGGGATGAAGACTGGACTCTGACTACAGTGACTGTCATCGTTAAGGACTCAGATGGTGGTGATGCAAGAAAATGTCCTTCCTGAGACAGGGGTATTATGGGCTGAAGTGCATACCCTCCAAATTCCTATGATGAAGGCCTAACCCTAGCATCTCGGGGTGTGACTGTATTTGGATTTGGGGCTTTAAAGAGGTGATTAGGTTAAAGGAAGCCGTTAGGGCGGGCCCTAATCCAGTTTGGCTGGTGTCCTTACAAGAAGAGGAGCTTAAGATACAGATACAGAGGGACGACCAGGTGAGGATACAGGGACTCAGCAGCTGTCTACAAGCCAAGGAGAGAGGCCTCAGGAGAAACCAACCCTGTGGACACCTTGATCTCAGACTTCCAGCCCCCAGAAAGGCGAGAAATACATTTCTGTTGTTTAAACCCCTCAGTCTGTGGGACTTTGTTATGGTAGCCTGAGCTGACCTAACACAAGGGGTGAAGTGTCAATATGTCTGTTTTACTTTAAAATCTGTTGGCAAGAAAAAAGCAAATATGGTCAAATGTGAACAGTGTTCCACACTGGCATCTGGAGAAGCCACAAGGTGGTGTGGGGGCCACTGGTCAGCCTGCAGGTGTGGACTCCTAAAGCCACCACCCAGGCCAGGTTCTTCCATTCTCTGGGCTCATGCAACACAGGGGTGGGGCCAGTGCCCGAGCCATCACATAGGACCATGCGGCAGCCTCAGGAGGGACCCGTAGCTAGAGATGGTGCCCTCGGGTTGCCACAGGGCCTGCTGCTTGTGTACCCACAGAAGGGGCAGCAGACCCTGATGGGCCAGTCCTCCAGGCCTGTTGGTGAAGTGGTCTCAAGAGATGGATTATAAGGCTGGAGCCAGGTCTGCAGCTCCCTGGGCACTTGTTCTCCCTCCAAGGGCCTGCCCTGGGAGCCCCTCAGGGCCTAGACAGGAGGCGCAGGACCCTCAGCATGCCTGCACTCCCTGAGCTGCCTGGTGCGGCCGGGCCCAGGGCTGGTTGTGGTAGGACGAGAGGTCTGCTCGCAGGGTGCCTCCAGCAAAGCCAGCTTCCCTGGTTCTGAAGCCAGCGATGACACTGAGGCCCAGCTCAGTGGACTCTTACCTGAGAGGTCGAAATGGTTGTGCAGCGTCCGGGAGTTAGTGCCCTCCGCTGCCTTCTCAAACGCCCGCCCAAAAAAGCTGTGGACACACAAGAGGCACATTGGGGACCTGTCCACTGCAATGGACCCTTTCCATGTCCCCAGGACAGACACTAGAGGTGGCCCAGACTCTTCCCCGGCCGCCAGTTCTGCCTGTCAGCACTCGTGCTCCTTCCTGGGCCGCTGACCTCTGAGACCTCCCCCCTACTCAGTGGACAGTCACTGTCTTTCACTGCTGCTCCACACCTGCATCCAGCCGAGCCCTTCTCAGCCTTCAGAGTGTAAGTATCCCTTTGCACCTCCCAGGGCTTCATGCTCACCGCCCGGACAGTGGCCTCCTGCGTGCCCAGCACTGTGCTGGCAGCTAGGGCAGGCAACAGGCAGACACTCAGTGGGAGCCACGCTGGGCTGGGGGTCTTAGAGAAGACCAGGTCCCACACAGAAGGGTGGCACTGGGAGGAGCCTGCAGGGCCAGGCTGCAGCATGTAGCTGGAACTCGGCCCAGTGAGGGCAGGATGCAGGAGCACCCCCAGGTGTGGCCCAGCCAGAGCTGCCAAGAGGACGCAGGCTGGTGGAAAGACAGCCAGGAATACAGACCCACTCCCTGGGGGCTCAGGGCCACTATAGGAAAGGGCTGTCAGCAGAGGGAGAGTGTCAATAGGACGGGCTCTTGGGCCTGTCATGGAGGACAGACAGAGGGGCATGTGCTTTGAGCCTCCACAGCAACTCCCACACAAGACCGTGCCCATCGGTCAGAGCTAACCACTAATCAGCACAGCCATACACAGCGATGAACCGATGGTCAGTGAGGACGCAGGCAGCTGTGGTGGTCCATGGGGGAAGGGCTCCTGGCCGCCTTGGAATCCAGCCCAGGAGCCCCTGGCCAGCTCCAACCTGCACGACTGTGAATCTGAGACCCACAGCAGAGCTCTGGAAAGCAGCTCGGCAACATGGAAGGACTCTTCTTAAAAAAGTCCACTGTCTCTCCCAACTTGCTCCTAAACAGCCTCTGCAGACGCAGAGTCATGACAAAGCTCATGGTCAAGTCAAGGTCAAAGCTCATGACAGCAGAGCTGGGATTGATCCAGATCCAGGACCAGTGTCTTCCACGGTAAAGCCCGATGAGAGCTAAATGGGAAAAACAAGGGGCACAGGACACTGAGCGGTCTGTGGCCTGCAAGCTGCCCTGCTGGGGAGCTGGGTGGCGGCATCCCGCTGCCCACTGTCGCTAGGCATCTGACCAAGGTCACCTCTTGGGATGTGTTGGGGAGCACTGGGCCTGGGGCACTGACTTTGCCTGGGATGCAAAGACATCTAAGGATGGTGAGAGGCAGCCCCTGATATTAGTCACCAGGTTCTCCAGCCGTGCAGAGCATGCAGGGGCAGCAGGGAGAAGCTGGGGGAGCCCCTGAGCCCCTGCCTGCAGGCCGACAGCAGGCCTGGGTGGATAGGGCAGGAGGCAACCCAGCCCTGCTGTAGGAGGTGGGCAGATGCAGGGCGGGGGGGGCCAGAAAGAGGGTTACAAGAGACTTCTCAAAAGTGACAAGCTGTGCACTCACAAGGTTCCCGGCACACTGTCTACAGTAACACAAAGTTGGACACAGCTCGAACGTCCAACAGGAGACGACAGGCAAACGTCACCTCCACTTAGCAGACTACTTAACATCAGAAGTCACCTTCATAAAGACGTGCACCAAGAAGGGTGATGCTCAGCGAGAAAACAAGACACACACAGTAACCACACCACTGATGGAAGTCCAAACATGTCTCCTGGACTTTCAACAGAGAAAAGGCTGAGGGAAGACAGGGAGCCACGACGCCGCAGCCTGAGTGCCGGCAGCAGTTCTGCTGGTTTCTGCTGGGCGGGTGGGGCTGTGCTCTGAGAGGGGACACCCTCCACATGCTACCCAAACCATGGAGGTGCCAGTGAACCAGCTTCGGTACGGCAGGCAGCTGGGGTGGCCACATCCCCGCACCACGCAGCAACTGTCTTGTATTTCAGCTCTCAGAACTGAACTTATAAATGTGTTTGGCACATGCCTAAATTTGAGATCCGGTGAGCAGTGAACTTGACTCTTGGGGATGTGGGTAGGGATCGACACCCTGCCCTGCTCCCCTCAAAGGTCGATGTGAGGCTCAGAAAAGATGGGCAGCGATCATTCACAAGGGTTTTGAAGACAATGTGCACAGCTGGTCTCGAGGAACCTTACAGGTGAGGCCTAATTTTTGGGGTGGCTGATCTGAGACCCCTCATATTTTCAGTGCAAACTTTTCACTCCTCAGAAGAGGGTTCAGGCCCTGGGAGGGCTGGGGTTCCCGCCCGAGACTGCAGAGAGCGAGGGCCCCTCACCACACTTCACTGCAGGCCCAGCCCACCCTCGGGGTGTCTGACCTGGGTGCTCCTGGGGGAGCCAGACACCCTTGCCTGGGCAGCCTGGGACAGTCCAGCTCGGGGTCGGGGGTGGCGCATGGCACATCCACTGCCACCCCTATGCTCCCCTGCACCAGGCTGGGATCGGGGCTACTGAGAGGCCTCAAGTTCACTTAGAGCAAAACCTTAATAACCTGGAGCCTAACACACAGAGCACCCCTTAGTAAGCCCGTGTGCCGGTGTCTGTGGTGCACTTTTAGAATGAGGTCCTGACAACGTGCTACCAGGATCTGAGACACGCCCCGCAGGGGACCAGGCAGGCACAGTTCATGGCCAGCTCTGCCACGTACCGGCCCACCCTCCTGTCCTTGGGGCTCGCCTGCCTCCTGCACCTCCGCAGGCTGGACCCGGGTGCTGCTCACCCGTCGTGTCCTGCTTGGTGCACGTGCTTGATGCTGACCCAAGACTGTCTTCATTGACTCCATTACTCATTTAGGAATGCAAACTAACAGCATTCAGAAGTCCAGTCAAGGGGTAAGGCAGAGGCTTGATGGCTAACCTGCCTCCCACGCACTTAAGCCCTCACAGCCCTGCCTCGTGGTGGAAAAGGCTGTCCTTGGAGTGGCACTGAGGGCAAACATCACCGGACTCAGCAGGGCCCACGGGCCAGTGACACCCCTGTGGCCCCCAAACTCCCAGGATGAGTGGAACCCAGCTCACTTCTTTCTGTCCGAGCTGTCGGTCTCTGGGGGAATGCCCACCATAGTCACTGTGCCCTGTTCCACACTCAGGGGGGCAGCCATCACCAAGGGCAGCAGCTTGCAGCGCCGGTTCTTTGTCTGCGGAGGCAAAGTGCATTCTCAGCTCGGGCCCTGTGGGGTGAGCACACTGATCGGCGCCCAGGAGCCCTGACAGCGCCAACCACTCACTCCCCCAAAGCCTCCAGGGCCTTCTTTTCACCAGAGATGCTCAAGTCTCCATGCAGCCGCCCCTAGGCCATGACACCATGTCCCCAGCCTCTTTCTGTGCCCTGAGCCCAGCCCCACTGCCCCTTGGCTGTTCCCTCCCTCACCTCCCTTAGGTCCTGATGCAGTTGTTACCTCCTCCAGGAGGCACTCCCCAACAATGCCTTCTCCCTCATCCTGCTTCATCTTTCCATGGTGTGTGCCACCACCTGACACTGCACATACTCAGTCCTCGTCTGTCACCCTCGCCAGCACGTGTGCTCCCTCAAGGTGGAGACTTGAGTGTTTCCTTCACTGATGTGCCCACTGCACCCACACCCTACACAACGAAGGTGACCAACTGTCCCAGTTTGTCCAGGACTGAGGGACGTCCCAGGACATGAACTGGGATGGTTGGTCACCCTACAACATCAGAGCCTGGCAGGTGGTGGTTGCTGAATAATCAGATAAATGATGGATCCTGTGAGGTGAGTGTTCAGTCACCCATTTTACAGATGAAGAAACCGAGGCTCAGAGGTCAAATAACCGACCTCACATCACAGGACTAGTAAACGAGGAGGCTGAGATTTAAACCCAGTCTGGACTGGGGACTTGGAGCTCATGTTTTGTTCCTAGTTCATCTTTTGTCCTCACTTGACTGTCTTCATGTAACACTCAGATAATCGTTTTATTGGTCAGTTCAGCAGAAATAATCTCAACCTCCCAGTAAACATCTTGTTTAAAGCCACCCCAGTATACACCCTCAAGGGATTGTTGAAAGGTGCGGATCACCCTTTCTGAGACCATGCCCAGGGATGAGCCTGACATAGCTGGGTAGGACCCCTGCCCAAATGCCAGCTGAGTTAAGGGGTGTCACGGGCCAAGGCAGAAGGGTGCTAGGCTGTACAGAAGACAGAACTACGCACAGAAAAGGGAAAGTCAGCCCAGAAAACAAACTTCTCCTAGGAAGCAAGTCTGTCTTACAACTAACCTCATCTTTCCCTGATCTGCCACAGTGAGTGCAAGCCCAAGCCCCACAGGCTCCATGAGGCTCCCTCTACTCATCTGAGCGATCTGGGTGGTGGGTGAGTGACAAAATCGGAGCTTATGGGAACCAGAAGGTTCCCAGGGGTTAGCTGAAGAAAACACAGCTTAGAAAAAGTGAGGGATTTGTCCAGACCCCACAGCCGGCAAACTGCCACTGATACCCCAAGGCCAGCTTCTGGAGCCCAGTCTGAGCACTGCCCGAGTGCCCACCTTCCAGCACCCACCCATGCGGCTCCTCACCGAGCACACAAACGATTTGAGCAGGTGTCTGCTGAGCAGGCTCAGGGATGCTGGCTTGGAGAACAACACCAGGTCCGGAGTGCCCTGGCGGGGAGGAGACAGAGATGGTTACAGGGGGCCACCAGCAGGCACGGCCCAGTGCCCGTGTGTCCGCAAGAAGCCTGACCTCCATGAGGGAGCAGTAGAGGAAGGGCCCTTGGGAGATGACGAGGTTGGTGCAGAGGCAACTGGCGATGGTCTGCTGCGTGGCTCGCAGCTGCTTCTTGGCGAGTTCCAGGCCATGGTACAGCTTGTCCAGGTTACTCCTGTAACACAGCAGACACACAGCTGCAGCACGGAGTCACACTTAGAACACCTTGTTCCTGCGTCAGGAGGGGGTGTAGGGATGAAAGTTCATTTCTCCCCCTCCTGAGTCTCCTTTCATGTGAAAGGAATAAAAAATGTATAAACCCACAGTGATGGACACGAGAAATGGGAAGGGGTGCTGGCACCAGAAGACAGGAGACTGAAAGCCCACAGAGGGAAGACTGCCCAGCAGGCCCTAGCAGGTGCCTGGAGGGCTCTGAGAGAGGAGGGCCTTGGGCAGGGGCTGGGGGAAGGACCAGGGACCCAATCACCTGACAGGTGGATTTTACCCTTCCCCCACAAAAAGGAGTACATTAAAATGAACCCCGTGGTGAAGTGAGGTCCCCAAGCAAAGCCTGTGTACCTAGCAGTTAAGGGTCCCAAAATGTCACATTAACTCCCCGCTCGCCAAGATGAAGTGATGCCTTCCGGCCTGTAGGCTGTGCCCAGAGATTCAGGGTTCACCAGGCTTCCACAGCCCCCCTCTTGACTGTGAAGGACCACCAGACATTCGAGAAAGACCTGTGGCCTGACAAAATGATCCTAAGGAAACAGGGATAATTTGGAGAACAAAAGAAAACTTAACACAAATTCACTCAAAGCCTAGAGGATCAAGTCAAGAAAACCTTCCTTAACATCAATAACAAGACAAAGACATGGAAAATATAAGGCAAAAGTCAGAGACAGAGTATCTTTCCAGGAAGTCTAGGAGAATAAAAACACTGATGTATGTGGGGGGAAGTCATAAAGCAGTAGCCCAAAAGCATTCCCAAGCTGAAATACACAGGCCTTGACTGAAAGGGCTCACCTAAAACTTAGTGCAATCCATGAAAGAAGATCTGCCCTAGACACGTCACTCTGAGGCTCTAGGACACTGAGAATAAAAGGCCCTGAAAGCTTCTTCAGGCAAGGTGGGGCATAGTCACAAAGAAACAAGAACCAAAATGGCTCAGACTTCTCATTAGCACCACTGGCTGCTGGAATACAGAGGAGCAATAGAATCCACATTCAACAGGAAATTACCTTCAACCTTAAATTCTATTTGAGCTAAACCAGCAATCAGATAAGGGCAGAACAAGCATATTGTCAGACATGCAAGAACTCAGAACGTTTACCTCACATATGTCCTTTCTTTAAAAATGACTCAAGGGGCCGGCCCCATGGCTTAGTAGTTAAGTTCACATGCTTCAGTGGCTCGGGGTTCGGTCCCCAGGCGCAGACCTACACCACTCGTCGGTGGCCATGCTGTGGCAGTGACCCACATACAAAATAGAGGAAGACTGGCACAGATGTTAGCTCAGGGAGAATCTTCTTCAAGCAAAAAGAGGAAGACTGGCAATGATGTTAACTCAGGGCGAATATTCTTCAAGCAAAAAGAGGAAGATTGGCACAGATGTTAGCTCAGGGCAAATCTTCCTCAACAACCACAAAAAACAACCAAAAAGACTGACTCAAAAATTTTGCTCTTGGGGGCTGGCCCCGTGGCCGAGTGGTTAAGTTCGTGCGCTCCGCTCTGGTGGCCCAGGGTTTCACGGGTTCGAATCCTAGGTGCTGACATGGCACTGCTCATCACGCCATGCTGAGGCAGCATCACACATGCCACAACTAGAAGGACCCACAACTAAAAATACACAACTATGTACCGTGGGGCTTTAGGGAGAAAAAGGAAAAATAAAATCTTTAAAAAAAAAAATTTTGCTCTAGCAAAACAAAGGAGTGAAAAAACAAAGACAAGGATCCCAAGAAATGGGAGACCTAAGCCAGGGGCACAGTCCAGGGCCATCAGTGGTGGCAGCAGGCAGCAGGCCTGGAAAGCTGCGGGTCCAGGCTGGGGTCAGGACACAGAGCCCTAGGCTCTCCTGGACGAAAGGTGCTCCGGGGGTACCTGCTGGGAGGAGAACTGGGGAAACTGAATATGATAAAGGAGGCAATTAACAGTTCCAGGAAGACAAAGAGCTGCACCAGAAAGTATGGTACCACTGCACATGATCGATTCTGGCATATTTTATTAGCTCAATGAAGTAACACCATTGATTTTCACCATTTAGAATCAACCTATAGCCAAAGATGAGGTGACTTGCATTCTATTCTCTAATCCAAGATTAAGTGTTATCAACCTTGAAAATGTAAAAATAGATTTCAGAAACTGTGAGGTGTGGGGAAGGAGAAAAGTAGGGATGCTAACATCTTTTTCTTACGCAGTAGGGAGACAAGAGACACTGGCGAGAGAACAAGGCATAAGAATGTTAAAGTTACAAAGCAGCTAAAAATAGTGCATAACTATACCGACAGGAGGGGCAGGAGCAGAAAAGTGGGATGAATGCTCTTTTGTCATAGCAGGAAGTCAGAGACAATGGCTAACAGTGACCCATCAACTCCAGGACAAAGGCGGCAGCATTGGTAATAGTTTTTGGATTTCCTCATATTTCTAGACAAAAATCGACAGAGTAACTACATGACAAAACCAAAAACTAGGACTCACATTTACAACACAATAAGGGAATGAGGGAACACCACAGACTCCAAAATCTAAGCAGGTGGAAAGAGACCACCAACTGGCCACAAGACTGGCATATTGTTGGTGTCAGTGTGGGAGGGAGTAGAGAAGCACTGAGACCTAAGAATGAGGAGAAACCCCAGGCAACTGGGGAACTGTGGCTAAAACTGAGAAGGGTTTAGCCCTGTCCAAGAGCAGATGAGTGCAAGGGCCCGTGGAAAAGTGCAAGGGGCATGGTAAAGACCAGGTGGCCGGGGCAGTCTAGCACCTGGAAGTCCCACCTGACCGGCCAGAGCTCTTCTCCACACTGGGCCTCTCACTGAGGAGAAAGTGCTGAGAATGGAATCAAAATTGAACAAGATACAGACAATATAGAAAAAGAAAGAGAAGATACAGACATAAACGCACTGGGATTGTAGTGGAGGTTTTAGCCAGGGCAGTCGAGCAAGAAAATGAAATAAAAGACACAGATTCGAAAGGAAGAAGTAAAATCATCTCTATTTGCAGATGACATGATCTTGTATATAGGAAATCCTAAGGAATCCACTAAAAAACTATTAGAACTAATAAACGAGTTACAGGATATAAGATCAATATACAAAAATCAATTGTATTTCTATGCAGTAGCAATGAGCAAATAAAAAATGAAATTAACAAGTCAATTTACAATAGCATCAAAAAAATATTTAGGAATAAATCTAACAAAAGAAGTGCAAATTATTCCCTGAAAACTATAAAACGTTGAAAGAAATTAAAGAGGATCTAAGTAAATGGAAAAACATCCCATGCTCATGGATTGGAAGACTTAATATTGCTAAGATACAATACCCCCAGACTTATCTATAGATGCAATGCAATCTGACTTCTTTGCAGAAATTGTCAAGCTGATGCTAAAACTTATATGGAAATTCAAGGAACTCAGAATAGTCCAAACGTGCTACAAAGCTAGAGTAATCATAACAGTATGGTATTGGCTTAAGCTTAGACATATTGATTGATGGGACGGAAATGAGAGTCCAGAAATAAATTCCTCTGCTTATGGTCAACTGATATTCAACATGGTGCCAAATTAATTAAATGGGGGAAAGAAGTCCTGTCAACAGATGGTGTGAGAACAATTGGATGTCCACACGCAAAAGAATTGAGTTGGATCCTTTCCCTACACCAGACATAAAAATTAACTTCAAATGAATCATGCACCTAATGTAAAGACGAAAACTATAAAACTCTTATAGAAAACAGAGGTGTGAATCTTTGTGACCTTGGATTAGGCAATAGTTTCATAGATATGACACCAAAAGCACAGGAAACAAAAGAAAAAAATAGATAACCTGGACATCAGCAAAATTAAAAGCTTTTGTGCTTCAAGGAACAACATCAAGAAAGTAAAAAGAAAACCCACAAGATGGAAGAAAATATTTGTAAATTATGTATCTGATAAGGGACTTGTATTCATAACATATAAAACAATTATTACAACTCACTAATAAAAAGACATACAATCCAATTTAAAAATGGACAAAGGATTCAAATAGACAATTCTCCAGACAAGATATACAAATGGCCAATAAGCAAGTGAAAAGCTGCTCATCATTAGAATTCTAACACATGCTACAACATGGATGGATGAACCTTGAAAACATTATTCTAAGTGAAAGAAAGCAGTCCAGTAAGGATCACATATTGTCTGATTTCGTTGATACGAAATGTTTAGAATAGCAGCAAATCTATGGAGACAAAGTAGATTAGTGGTTGCCTAGCACTGGGAGAGATGGGGGATTTGGGAGGTGATGGCTAAGGGGAGCGGGGTTTCTTTTTGGGGCAATGAAAATGTAGCACAGTTTAAAAACTGTGTGCTAGGGAACAGGACCAGGAAACCTTAGAAAGCAGGCCCCTACGTTTTTTAACTCCACACAAAAATAACGGTAGTGGCAGCTCTCTGAAGTTAGAACAGCTGTCAGAATCATGCCTCCTCCTAAAAAGTCAGGGAAACTAAATTCACAAAAACATGAGCAATAGACAAGTACTAAGGTCAAATCCTCTCAGAGTTACCAAGAAAAAGGAGGCGAAGGAGCAGACCAGCATGCCCCTGACATGCCCAAAGATCCAAACTATCATGTTCTATGTCAAAACAAGCTAAAATATATTAGAAAAATAATATAAGACATCTCAGGAAGTGAAGTAAGAAAAAAGCAGAAATAAAAGAAAAATAATCGAGATAAGAAAACTAAACTAGAAGAAACACAAGAATGAACACTACAAATAATGCCTTAAGAGATGAAAAAGGAGAAAATTTTACAAATCAAAAGGGAAAAAGAAGAGATGAAAAGGATTCAAGAGGAAGTGGCACATACTGAGGACGGGCAGGAAACGTGTCCTGTGCAGCCCTGGCTCGGGTGGACAGTGGCTCCAATTGGCACCCAAACAGTTTCCGCAGGACACAGTCACTCCCACGCCCCGGGGTGGGGGGGGTCCATGCAAGCTGCCTCCCTGGGTGGTGAGGCTGAGGGCCAGAGGTGGCCCAAGGGGATGGAGGTCCACGGTCATGCCCTCTACCTAGAGAGGCTGTCCAGAGCCTGGATGAAGTTATCTGTTCCTGAGCTGTCCTTCTCGGGGCTCTCCATTAGCGACATGGTTGCAAAGACCACATCACTGGCCAGGAACTTGTGCTTGAAGCCAAAATGAATGCTGAAAGTCTGTACTCGCATGTCCCTCATCCTGCAATGAGAGGAAGTGATGCGGCTGTGAGGCTGCATGTGCGGGAGTGAGTTCTTCCCTCCAGGCCAGGCCCCCGTGAATGCTCTGCAGCACAGTCTCTCTGGTCAGAGAATGGAGGGGTCAGAAGGCTCAGGCACACCAGCCCTGCAGCCCAGAGCACCGAAGGCCTCCTCCAAAGCTGCTCAGCTGGTTGGGGGCAGGGCGGGAATAAGCTACCGGGCCGGGATGTGTGTGGTCCTCTCCTGAGCCCTTGGATGCCAGGCATGGGTCCCTCAGCAGTGCCGGAGGATGCGGGCGGGCAGAGCTTGCCTGAGCCTGGCCCCAGTCGGCCCTTCTCAGGCCCATTTCCTGTGTCCGGGGAGGGACAGGCTGGGTCGCCCTCAAAGGTCCACACCTTGGCCCCAGGATTTAAGGACTCTAGACCTTTCAGGCACTTTAAGAAGTCTGATTTTTAACCCAAAGGGAACGCACTTTGGGAGAGGCTAGACAGGTCATGCTCATTTGTGTATTCTTGGGGTTTTTTGCGTTATTTTAGGAATGTGGTTAAAGCTGAAGCCTTAAAGAAGCTTAATAAGAAAAATATGTGTTTACCCAAATTTATTTGCAGACTCTTCAATCATCTCCCGCAAATTCTCCTTCAAAGAGATGTCCATGGACTGAAACTTCTGCTTCACCTGTTTCAGGGGAAGACTGGAAGGACAGCAAGTGCTGGTCACACGAGCAACCTGGCTTTAAATCGAGACACCGACGGAGGGGAAGAGCCCCTTGACGGCCCCACAGGCCAACAGGGGATGCCCTGGTGGGGGCCTCCAGACGACCTCGAGGTGAGGAACTTAGGGCAGGAGCAGGCAGCATCTGGATGATACCGCCAAGTCGGTCATGATGAAGGGGAGGTGCTTTTCCCTTGGGGACTATGGGTGAGGTGGTCACTCACCCCATGTCCGCGAGGAACTCCTGGAGCCGCTTCTGCCCGTGCACCGACCACAGCTTGAACCTGGCCGCAGTGTAGCATGTGTTGCACAGGCTCTCATGGAGGGACCAGTGCTGGTAGAGCGCCAGGCGGAGGCTGGGCCTGCAGTCAAGGAGGCTGTGGCCGCACAGTGACCCAGGGCCTGGGCAGGACACGGCCCCACCCACCCCTTGACGCCCACCTACAGACTCTCTAGCAGACGGTCAGCTCCACGCGCAGGGCGTGCCTGCACAACTAGCTATCACATGAGTGACCTGGAGCTCTCTGATTTGACCAGTACAGGGAGCTTGTGAGGTGGGGGGCACACACCATTATCCCCATTGGACAGACAAGGAAACCGAGGGGCAGGGATTCTGAGAGTCCAGGGACTGTGCTCACAGAGAGCCCTTGTGGCCACACAGGGCTTGGGAGGCCCAATAGGGCGTTGCCAGCCCAGGCGGTCATCCCGTCTGCCCCCTGTGTGCTCTACCTTGCCTGCCCTCCCTCCTACTCGTGCCTTTGCTGAGACCCCCTCAGTGAAGGCCTCATCCCCACACCTCTTCTTGAACGTGCCGTTCACCACTCATGGGGCCATGAGCGTGGCTGTGCATGAGGACAGTCCTGCCCCCCAGCAGGCCTTCCCTCCTACACCCCAAGGGTCTTGGCAGGACGCCAGGCTAGCCCTGCCTCCATCCTGAGGTCACAGTGGTGCCCTGCCACTGCTCCTGCCGACACACCGGCCCCCCAGGCCCAGCCTCTGGGCACACAGTGGGCTCTGTCCTCAGTGTTGCCCCTCTCAACAGGACAGCTGCTGTCCTCCCTGCCCACTCCCCAGGCACGTCCTGGGGCCTGCATGTCACGTGTCAGGACCTGGCTCCTGGTGGGCCCCTGTATGCCGGACGCAGCCACCCTCTCTGGAGCTGGGCTGGTCCACACCCAGCACCTATTCCTACACTTGTCACAGGCACCTCCCACCTGACCTGTCCAAACTCACGTTTACTTGTCCCTGGCCATTTTAGCACAGGTACAGGGCAGCACTGTCCCTGCCACCACTCCATCCACCACCAAAGCAGCGACCCTGGCCACACCTCATGCTTGCTGCCACAGTCTGGCCTGAGCCACCATCCTGTCTCCTTGCTCCTAGTCACCAGTCCCGGGACCTTTGAAACACCCACAATTGAACTCAAGTCACTGCTCTGGGCTCACAGAGCCATCAGCTCTGGCCTGTCTGAACTTCAGACCCTACCCATCTCTCCAGCCCCTTCCTTGAGCTCACCTCAGGGCCTTTGCACAGCCACGGCCTCTGCCCAGGCTGTTCCCCCTACCACCGAACATGGCTGAGTCTTGGCCTAAGATGGCGCCTCCCCAAGGTTTTCCTGAGCACTGCGGTCTGAGGGCTGCCTGATCACTTCATCGACACTCACATTCTCCTCGTGAAATGTTGCACTCTGTAATCATACTCTGGCTGGCTTCTTCCCTGACTGGCTTGGCAGCGGTCTGTGAACAGTGCTTAACTGCCTGTACTGCCTAGGTGGACCACGGCACTCACCCGCACGGACCTAGCACCAGGCCCACAGTTAGCCCTACAGAGATGCTTGATGCTTCTAAACACAGTGCTGGCACTTAGGAGCCAGAGCCACACAGAGCAGCCAGGACAGAGCCTGCTGCCCAGGACCCAGTGCTTTGCCCAGCCCGGGCAGCACGCCAGGGCCCCTTTACCCAAAGCCTCTCGTCCCATCTGCTGCCTGTCCCAGAGACACAGCAGCCACAGCCACACAACCCAGACCTGCAGCTCTGTGGCGAGAACATGCCACCCATGGGCAACATGGGCTGGGGCCTGCAGAGGTGACACAGCAAACAGTGCACTGCTGAGCAAAACTTCTGAGGGCAGGGGTGCTGCCTGCACCTCACAGCTGGAGCCTCAAGGATACTCGTACTCAAAGGAGATCCGTGTGCAGTCGACGGAGAGGGCGTTCTCCTCATCCTCGTTCCGGTGGTTGTGTCGGGACACGTGGCGCTGTAGGACACCAACGTCAGTCACGTACTTCATCCTGGAAGGAAAGCACTGTGCCTGGGGGGCTCCCATCTCCCCTCACATGGAGCCCAGCCATGTGGTTTCCCTCCCTCCCTCAAGGCCTCCCCACTCCGGGAGGCTCAGGGGCCGGCCCACCACATGGCTGTTCCCGTCCAGGACTGAGGAAACTCTGCCACCTCTGCATGGAAACCAAGCAGGACAGTGGCAGCTGTTCCAGGCAGCTGGGGGTACATGAGTGGAAAGAGCTGGAAGGGGTGGGCTCCTGCCCGCCTCCCACTTGCATTTTCCTCTGGGCGGCAGCTGCCCCATCATCACTTGTTTGAGACCTCCTGAGGGTGGGCACTGTGGGAGGCCACGGGGCCACCCGCTGGTCACGGTCAAGTGGACAAACCCCAAAGTGACGAGAATCCACAGCAGAAGGTACAGACCCTGCATAGGAAGTGTTCCTGAGCACAGCGGGAGAGGGGCCTCACTCGAGGGGCGGCCACAGGCCAGGGACCGTGCCTGGTGCTGTGCACACCCCATGCTATCCTTAACAGAGAAGGGGAGTGAGGCCCAGGAAGACGGCAGGCCGGGCCAAGGTGACACATCCAGGAGGCACGCCAGGCCTGAGAATCAGGACCCTCCTGGACCCTAGGCCATAACACAGAACTTGGACAGGCAGGGTGGGGTTGGAGGAGGCAGGAAAGCGGGACACGGGGCTTCTATGAACTGTACGCGGAGGCCATGCCAGGCTCAGGTCCCTGGGACAGGGTTAGCATCTGGGGGTCAAGGTCCCTGTCAATTCCCTTAGAGTCCCCACCTGACAGCCACCAGAGGAGTGGGGACGAAGGAGGGTGCCGGCACCCTGGCCCTCCCCGGTGCCTGCGTTCTGGGGCAGCCCTTTAGTCCACCGTTGGAGTCAGACAGTTGGGGAGCACCAAAGCCTGCCCATTGAGGGGCAAAACAAGATTCAGCTCCATGCTTGCCCTCCTCGCAGCCGTCTCCAGCCCTCTCCTTGCCTTTGAGCTCAGACCCACTCCTCTGGCAGGATGCTCAGGGCCCTCACATCCTCCGACCTGTGTCCGCTGTGCACGGGCCAGCTCTGCGCCCAGCCCTGCCCACAGCATAGGGCTCCAAGGGTGGGAGACTGCGCTCCCTCCTCTCACCTCTGGCTCCACCTGCTGGGCTCCCTGAGGGTGGACAAAGCGTCCACACAAGGTCACACACTACTCTGCCAGAGGTCCCAGTACTAAGCCCTTCCTCGGTGACAATGATGCAGACCCAAGGCCAGCCCCTTCCTCCGTGGGGCTCTAAGGTGATGCTGCCACCCGTCTCCCTACTGCAAACTTGGGTTGTGGACAAGCCATGCATGTTGTCACAGAACGGGCTGACCTTGGACAGCCCTAGGGAGTGCGTCCTTACTGGGTGATCTTGTCTTGTACCCATTGGTCCGTTAGTCCAACAATGGCCCACCTGGAAAGAGAGGAGAGGGCAATGGAGTGGTGAACAGGGCAGGACAGGCGCCACTCACAGGAGTGTCCTGTCAGCATGGCCAGGCCCAGGCCTGCCCTCAGACAGGTGTCTCCTCTCTGCAGAGTGGATAGGTTACAGGGGGTGATTCAGGGCTCCCAGTACAGTATCACCACTGTGGGAGCTATGGGTACACAAGGAGGGAGATCTCCTGGGATGAGGATGGCAGGCCTGATGTGGGCAGGGCTCCACTGTGTCCTGGCTCTCCACCCACGTCCTGCCACCAAGGGACTGTGGGAGACAGCCACACTCAGGCGCTGGCAGACCCTGGCATGTCACACCACCTCCCTGAGCCCCTCACATCCCCCACCCTCTGAGATACACCCGCAGCACAGCAGACCCCAGTCATGTCCACATCTCCCTGTCCTTCCCATGGAAAATGGCAGGACACAGTAACAGCATTTAGGCCACTTAAGAACCTTCCAAGCTCCTCCCTCTAAGCTCATCTATTGTGGATCAGATATGGGAGACCCAGGCTGGGCCTGACCTCCCTGGGATCACGGCTGGCCCATAGCAGGAGTGACCAGGACCCCAGGTGTGGTTAGTCATCCCAGCTGTGATCCCCATTGGTCCCCAGGTGCCATCCTTCAAGATACCCCTACAGGCCCACAGCCAGGAACAGGCAGGGATGCTGCATGCAGAGTAAGATGGAAGAGGCCCTGGAAGGTTCACCTTTTGGGGGGCAGGGTGCCGGAGTACCCCACCACATCCCCCAACACAATGCCCCTTCTGCCTCAGAAGGATTTCCTCAGAAAAGGCTACCTTGGTGTGGGGCTGGCCCAGTGGCCAAGTGGTTAAGTTTGCTTGCTCTGCTTCACTGGCCCAGGGTTCGCTGGTTCGGATCCTGGGCATGGACACACTGCTCATTAAGCCATGCTCTGGTAGCATCCCACAGAGAAGAACTAGAATGACTTGTAACTAGGATATACAACTACGTGCTGGGGCTTTGGGGGAAAAAAAGAAGGTTGGCAATAGATGTTAGCTCAGGGCCAATCTTCTTCACCAGGAAAAAAAAAAAAGAGCCCCCCTGTCCCCAGATGTCTTCCCTGACCAACTCCACCTCCTCCCCACATTCCATGTGTGCATTTATACCAGGTTATTTTGCATTTGTCCTTATGCCCTTTCTGGAGTTTTCTGGAGGCATTTCACAGGGGTATATCCGGACATCACCGCTAACTGAAGGAGCTCACAGTGGGTGGGATGCTGAAGGCACCACTGAGCACACAGCAGGCACCCACTAAAGGCTCCCGGATGCTGATGTGGCTTGCACGTGCCCATGGCTACAGGGCCCGTGACAGGCTCCCACCTGGCCTTACTGCGGGAGCCCTCAACGCACAAACCAGCCCTGTGTCAGGGTGCCAGGGCTGTCTGTCCACACTGTGGAGGGGACCCGAGATGAGGGCTGAGCCTGCTGCTGAGGATGGCGGGTGGACATGCACCAGGCATCGGCCTGGGGCAATGACAGAGCCCCCTGGGCCTAGCCTTAGACAGTGCCCAGGCCCTGCCCTGGCCCCAGCTGTCCTGAGGCCCTGCATCAGAGCAGGCGTTATAATCCCCGTGCTGGGGAGTCAGGGCCAGAAGGGGCCTTGTGAGACCACCATGCTGCAGGGGAGAAAACCAGGATCTGCAGGTGAGGGCTGAGGGGGTGGAGCAGGCCAGACCTACGGTTTCTTCACTCAGAAAGACTCTGCAGGTTTAGTTTCTAAACCAACATGAGTCACAGCACATTGGGAGTTTTACAGCACCCAGCGGGCCGAGGGTCCCGCTGCAGTCCATGCGGCAAACCCTGCAGCCAAATGGCTCTTCCTGCGTCGGGTCTCACCACGCGCCAGGGCTGCCAAGATGTCTAGAAAGGGCTGCTTCATTTAAATCTCATGCTCCTTCTGTTTCCCAAATGTCCTGGGCAGCAAGGCTGAGCAGCAGGGTGGGAACGGCGGAGCGCCCCAACCCCGCTCCAACCCTCTGCACTCTGCACCCCGCAAGTTTGCGTGCAGCCGGGAGCCTACACTTAGGAAGACCAGAGCCGTCCACATTCCCAGAAGGGGGCTGTGCCTGATGTTCCTGGTGCAGACCACATGGTGACGTCTCCCTCCAGACCCTGCCCTCACTGTGGGAGGACAGAGCTGCCGAGAAGGTAGCCAGCCACATGTGGCACTGACCTTGACTGGGGCCTACATACCATAGCATGTCATTCAGGTCCTTGGACATCATCCATGCCAGGTCGAACATCACCATGGCTGACTGCAAGAAAGAGAGAAGCCTGAGGCCAAAGGCAGTTGTGCTCATGGAAAGAGCGCACGCTGGGGCTGGGCACACAGCTGGGCCAGACCTGCTTGGAGCTCTGGCTGAGCCCCTGCAGATTGAGGGTCTGCCTGGCAAGGGCCCGTGGGTGGACTCCAGGCTAAACCAAGGGAAGAAGACGGAGTAACACAACTGACCCACACCGTCTCCTCTGCTAACTCAAGTCAGTACTGTGTGCACACTTCATCATGCAGCTGGGGGGCGGGGCAGCCAGGTGCAGTGCTAAGCTGGGGCCTCCAGACATCTCATTGGGTGCCTCAGTGATGCCTGAGGGAGGCACTGAAGCTGGGAGGTTGGGGACCCTGTCATCTGCATGACCCTGCTTCCACATGCTCCTCCTGGCTTGCTGGTGGCCTTGCACAAATCCTGAGAAAGCCAGGTGAGACAGGGCCTTGGTTCCAGTTACTTGGACATTAAAGAGGAAAGGGCCTCAGGACCCCCTAACAGGACTGTCGACTGATGGAAGCATCTAACTTCCTGTGAGCAGAGGGTCTGGGTTTTGGGAGGAGACGAGGACGGAGGATCAATATCTCGCTTGAAGACTCTAAAGTTCCCTTAGCTGTGAGATGCTGGGCTGCCCACCAGGGAGGATTTCCAAGGGAACCATCCATGTCTCTGGCCAGCACCTGCCGTCCCACCCACACCTTCTCAGAGTGAGCACCATCCAACCCACCCACTGCTCAGAATTTCCCATGTGCCAGGGCAGAGCAGAGAGGGTAAGAGGATGGCCCTTCAAAGGACAATGGGACCTTGACATAAAAGGGACACTGGAAATATGATGCTCAGAGTCCAAGGCCCTCGGGTCAAATTCTAAGACGAAACATGGGCACTTTACTGGAAACTTATCTTCTTGGGCTTCTAAGGCCCTGGGCTCAGCTCAACACCATCAGAATCAACACAGCAGGTTTTCTGTATGAAATTCTGTTCTGTAACACACAGGCTGATGAGCCTTTCTTAGTCTAGAGTTTTAGCTTCTTGCACAGAGACTAATACAAACTCGTTCTGTATATTTGATGATAAACAAGAACAACAGCTGCTGCTCTTGAGCACATATTGGATGTGAGGGACCATCGTAACAACTGCCTCTGAAATGAGGACTGTTATCTTCTGTTACAGAGAAGGAGGGGTTTAAGGCTCAAAGAGGCTGCACCACCTGCCCAAGGTCACACAGTGGGAAGCTATGGGGCTCAGATTCAAACCAGGCTTCCGTGGCTCTAAAACCTGCACTCAGTCCTCATGTTTCAGGACACTGAGCCCGAGTCAGAACTTTGTGGTGAATTCCACCTCTCCGTGCTTACCGACGTCCCGTGATATTCATACTGCTCATAGTCAAAGAGGATGTCTCTTCTGTAATGACACAAAACACAGGTCTTCAACAGCAAGCAGTATAGGAAGCAAACATTTGGAAAAATGCCAAAACTCGCCAGTACTCAGAGAAATGCGATTAAGTCATGGTACTCTTTGTTTTCACTTACTGGCTCTTTCGCAGAGAGTGTATGCACAATGCTGGGAAGGGAACAAAACTGATGCAATCCACTTGTGACAATGGGAGACGTACAGTGGCATAGTCCTAGAATCCTGCTTCTGAGAAATTATCCCAAGACAACCATTCAAAGGAACAAGCAAGACAAAATTCCTCTGTGTATAAGGTTGTTCACCACAGCCTTATTTGTCACAGAAAATGCTGGAAGTAACTTCTGGTTCAAAAAGAAGGGGAATGGCCAATTACGTACTATGCCATTTATAAAGGCTGTTCAGAACTATGGTTACATTAAGTCGAAAAATGCAAAACTGGTGTGATTATGTAAAATATGCAAGGTATGGATAACCCAGGAAGATCAATCCAAAGCGAGAATCTCTTCCCATTAGTGAAAATTTTCCTTACATTTCTTGAAATGGTTTTCCCTCATCTTTCCAAGAGGGGGGTGCTGAGCACACGCCCTCAGCTGGAACAGAGGAGACGGGGGGGTGCTGGGACACCCAGGAGACCTTCAAGGACTAGGACAGCAAGGAGCCCCCAGCCCAAGAACTCTGCTGCATGTTCACCTCAAGCTAGAATAACCTTGCCAACGTTTTCATTTTAAAGCACTTCAGTTTTCTAATTTGCAGTATGGAGTGGAATTATAGATGTTAGTTTCCTTTTCATACTTTTCTTTCTATGAAAGGTTTTACACAACTGGTGTTGATGTCATCTGTAAGAATTTTGAAATACAAGTATCTAGATCTAGAAAACTATGAAAATAAAGAACTAGGGGCCTGACGGACAGCATATATTTGGGAGACGTTTGGGTCTGGGCTTGTCTCTCATGGGACCAGATAGTGACATGGAGGGGATGCAGAGCTCTTTTGAAACTCAGGAGCCACACGCTTTCTCCTGCAGCAACTGGCCCAGAGGTTCCAAACTAAACGAACTATCCTAAAATGGAAAAACATGCATGCAGCCCCCAGGGAAAAAAACAGGCGCCAGGGACCCGAGTCCCACAGGGGCATGGGCTCTGTTACAAAGGAGTGGGCTCCGTGACAGGGGCGTGGGCTCTGTGACAGGGCAGTGGGCTCCGTGACGGGGGCATGGGTTCTGAGAAGGAGCAGTGGGCTCCGTGATGGGGGTGTGGGCTCTGTGATGGGGGCTGCTGCTTGAAGCACACTCACCTCCGGGCCTCCCACTCCCTTCGTTGCCTCCTCTTCATGGTTTGCTCCACTATTTCCTGAGGTAGTGACAAAGAGAAAAGGGTGAGCAAATGAGCCAGGAATCATCTCTATAGCCTGAGAAGGTCCCCACCGGGCAGAAGCCCCTGGGCTCTGATCCCTAAGGGAAACCTGGCTCATCCCAGTGCCTACCACAGCCTGCTCCTGGAGAAGGATGGTGCCGAGGCAGGTGTGGCTGGGACCCCTCTGGCCCGTCGGCACTTCAGACACTGTGGACGGGAACAGAGGCTTCCTCAGTGCCTGTGTCCTCGCCCGCTCTCTGTCACCCTCACCACGTGTGCCCAGGATACGCCCACACCTCACACTGGCTTTCTCCCCAGATTAATAAGAGCTGTGATTCTCCCATCCTACCATTTACCAGCAAGTATTCTGATTCTAGGCATAACCTCATTATCAGTTCTCACAACAAAGCAAGAGGTAGTGAATGTGGCAGTTTTAAAATCCATACACCCCAGACTGCTGCTTCTAGAAAGATGGGGCAGATGTATCTTGCCTTATACATCCACTAACTACACCTAAAAATCTGGATGTTATCTATGAAACAAACAAAATAAGACTCTAAAAGGTGGAGAGGAAGGCTGACCAGGTAGGGCCTCCGGGACTGAGAAATTACACGGTAATGAGTTCTCTGGTTTTTCTTTATGGCTCATATATCCCAGACATGGAGCTGAAGAAGCTGGCAACCTGAAAACGCTAAGAGGTACAGAGAAAAAAATCCCCCCCCAAAGTCAAAGGACCAGGAAGGAGCAACCTCAAAAGAGAGAAAACTTTTAGACAATAACTGCTCTACTCCAGTCACCACCATCAACAACACTGTGCCCCACCCCCCCCGCCCAGCAGATGCCGAGGGGGAGCCTAGACTCCTACCCTTGTGAGCGCCTCCCACCTGTAACACCTCCACCTTCTACCTGTAATATCTCCCAACACCCCCACTGGGGTGTCAGAGGAGGCCACATAGGGAGCCTGGACCTTCCTTGCCCAGTGCTAACAAGGAGCCACTCCTCTCGGGGGTTAACAGAGGTCAAGCAGAACCTGAACTTGTACTTCCACCTGGCTGTCAAGAGGCCACACCACCTCCTCCCTCCTTTGCCAGAGTGGTGTCAGAGAAAGCAGATAAAACAGAAGACTTAAATAAGACACAGAGTCTTATAACACAAAAATGTCCAGGTTTCATTTGAAAAAATCACTCATCATACCAAGAACCAGAAAGATCCCAAAATGAATAAAAGAGGACAATCCACAGATGCCAACACCAAGACGGCAGAGAAGTCAGAATTATCTGACAAGGACGTTAAAGCAGCCATCACAAAAATGCTTCAACAAGCAATTACAAACACGCTTGAAACAAATGAAAACATAGGAAACCTCAGCAAAGCAATGGTCGATGAAAGAAGAACCAAATCAAAACTTAGAACTGAAAAGTACAATAAGTGAAATATCAACTCAGTGCGTGGGCTCAAGAGCAGAATGGAGAGACAGAGAAAAACACCAGCAGTGAATCAGCAGATACGATGATAAAAATTACCCAGTCTGAGCAACAGGGAAAAACCCGTCTGAAAAAAACCCAAGTAAAGAGAGCCTCAGGGACATGCAGGACTACAATGAAAGACCTGACACTCTGTCATCGGTGTCCTGGAAGGAGAGGAGAAAGAAGGTGGGATGAAAATGAACTTTAGGAAATAATGGCTGGAAATTTGGCAAGAGACATAGATCTATAGATGTAAGAAGCTGACTGAATCGCAAAAAGGCTAAACCCAAAGAAATCCACACTAAGACGCATTATAACTAAACTTCTGAACACTAAAGACAAAAAATATCAAAAACAGCAAAAGAAAAATGACATTTTACCTATGGGAGAGAAACGGTTTGAATGATAGATTTCTCGTCAGAAACCATGGAGGCCAGAGGAAGTGGCACACCATTTTTCTTTTTAAATTATTTTCTTAAAATTGAAGTTAAATAACATTTTTCAAGTGCTGAAAGAAAAGAAGAACTGTTCATCCCAAATCCTACAATCAATGAAAATATCTTTCAGGAATAAAGGGAAATCAAGAAATTCTTAGAAGGAAAGCTAAGAGAATTTATTGCCAGCAGACCTGCCCTAAAAAAAAGTTGGTTAAAGGAGGTTCTGTAAACAGACAGGAAATGACAAAAGAAGAAACTTTGGAACATCAGGATGGAAGAAAACATGACAAGCAAAAATTGGGTCAATACAATAGGCTTTCCTTATTCTCTTGAGTTTTATAATCATGCTTGATTATTGAAGCAAAAATTATACCACTGTATGATATGGTTCTAAATGTATGTGGAGGAAATGTTTAAGAGAATTATATTACAAACTGGGGAGAATAAGGGACGTGAAGGAAGATAAGGTTTCTACATTGAACTCAAACTGGTACAATGATGATGCCAGTAGACTGTGATAAGTTAAGGATATATAAGTAACACTTGCAGCAACCACTAAAAATATTATACAAACAGATACACAAACACTAGAGGTAAATCAAAACAGAATTCTAAAAAAAAAAAGAAAAAGCCAACAGATATGAAAAACAGAGAACAAATAGAAAATATAAAATGAAAATAAAAAGGTCAGACTTAACCCCTCACCTATCAATAATTAAAATTAATGTAAATGGTCTAAACACATCAATTAAAAGACAGAGATTAGCTTTAAAAAAAACATGATCCAACTCTATGCTATTTAAAGAAACTCATATACTCTGATTTCTCTTCAGATAATATAAATCTTTTGCCGTTTTTTTTTTTTTGAGGAAGATTAGCCCTGAGCTAACTGCTGCCAATCCTCCTCTTTTTGCTGAGGAAGACTGGCCCTGAGCTATCATCCATGCCCATCTTCCTCTACTTCATATGTGGGACACCTACCACAGCATGGCGTGCCAAGTGGTGCCATGTCCGCACCCAGGATCTGAACTGGCAAACCCTGGGCAGCCAAAGTGGAATGTGGGCACTTAACTGCTGCGCCACTGGGCCAGCCCCATTGCCTTTTTTTAAAGAAACTCAGTACAAATATAACAATATAGGTAGGTTGAAAGTATAAGGTGGTAAATGATAAAGCATGCAAGCATTAATCAAAGGAAAACAAGAGTGCACTATTATTATCAGATAAATCAGACTTCAGAGCAAAGAAAATGACCAGAAATACTAAATAATAATAAAAATTTCAGTCAACCAAGAGGACACAACAATTCTAAACATGTATTGTGCACCAAACAACGGGGCTGTAAAACATGTGAAGCAAAAATTGATAGAACTGAAAGGAGAAAATGACAAATCTACAATTATAGCTGGAGACTTCACCATCTCTCTCTTCAGAATTGATAGAATAGCTAGACAGAAAAGCAGCAAGGAAAGAGAACTCAACAACACCATCATCCAACTGTATCTAACTGACACTGGTTGAACATTCTGTTCTACAACAGTAGAATACCTATTCTTTTCAAATGGTCACAGAACATATATCAAGATAGATCATATCCTGGGCCATAAAAAAAAATCTCGACAAATGTAAAAGAACTGAAATCACATCGAGTGTATTCTTCAACCACAACAGAATCAAACTAGAAATTAATAATCAAAAGATAAGAGGAGGGGCCAGCCTGGTGGCGCAGCAGTTAAGTTCACATGTTCCGCTTCAGCGGCCTGGGGTTCACCAGTTTGGATCCTGGGTGCGGACATGGCACAGCTTGGCAAGCCATGCTGTGGCAGGCATCCCACATATAAAGTAGAGGAAGATGGGCATGAATGTTAGTCAGGGCCAGTCTTCCTCAGCAAAAAGAGGAGGATTGGCAGCAGATGTTAGCTCAGGGCTAATCTTTCTCAAAAAAAAACCAAAAAAACAAAAAAAAGATAAGAGGACAATCTCCAAACACTTTGAAACTAACCAGCATACTTCAAAATAATCCATGGGTCAAAGAGGAAGTCCCAAGGGAAATTAAAAAAAAATACACAGAAGGGAATGAAAGTGAAAATAAATACATCAAAAATATATGGGACACACTGAAAGCAGTGCTTACAGGGAAATTTATAGCACTAAATACACCCATTAGGAAAGAAGAAAAGTCTCACATCAATAATCTAAGCTGCTTCCAGAACAAGAAGAGTAAAATAAACCAAAGCAAGCAGAAGGAAGGAAACAATAAAGAGGGAACACTTGCCAATTCATTTTATGAAGATAGTATTACCCTGATACCAAAACCAGACAAACACAGTACAAAAAAGAAAACTACAGACCAATATCCCTAATGAAAATAAATGCAAAATCCTTAATAAAATATTAGCAAATAGAATTTTGCAAGTTATAAAAATAATTATATACCCTGACTAAGTAAGTTTTATTCCTGAGATGCAAGGCTGGTTCAATATTAAAAAAAAAAAACAATCAATATAATCCACCATATTAACAGGTTAAAGAAGAAAAGTTACACTGTCTTATCAATTAGTGCAGAACAAGTACTAGACAAAATTTAACATCCATTCATGATAAAACAAAAAAAAAAAGGGGGGGAAATACAGGGAAACTTCCTCTATTTGGTAGAGAGCATCTACAAAACCCTACAGCCAGCATCATACTTAATGGTGAAAGACTGGACGCTTTCTGTCTATGAACACAAAAAGGCAAAGATGTGCACTCTCATTACTCTTATTCAACACAGTGTTGGAAGTTCCAGCCAGAGTAATAAGTCAAGAAAAGGAAATAAAATGCATACAAATCAGAAAAGAACTAAAACTGTCCCTATTTGTAGATGACACAATTGTCTATGTAGCAAATCCCAAGGAATCTACAAAAAACTCCTCGCACTAATAAGTGAGCTCAGCAAGGCACCAGACATAAGACAAACATAAATCAATTGTACTTCCATATATTAGCAATGAACAAATAGATATTAAAATTAAAATACAACATCATTTACAATCACTCCAAAAAAAGGGAAATACTTAGATGTGAATCTGACAAAACAGTATAGGATTGTATGCTGAAAAGCATACAATGCTGATAAAAGAAATCTAAGAGGATTTAAATAAATGGAGAGACATACTATGTTCATGGATTACAAGACTCAACACAATAAAGATGTCAACTTGCCCCAAATTCATATACAGGTTTACGCAATTCCTGTCAAAAATCTCAGCAAGATTTTTTGTAAGTATAAAGAAAATTATGCTAAAAACGATATAGAAAGGTAAAGGACATAGAATAGCTAACACAATTTTGAAAAAGAATAAAGTGGGAGTACTTAGTCTATCTGATTTCAAGGCTTAATAGATAGCTACAGCAGTCAAGACTGCGGTTTGGCAGAGGGGTAAACACATAGATCAATGGAATAGAGCAGAGAATCCCTAAAGAGATCCACACAAATATGCCATATTGATTTCAATGGAGGAAGGACAGCCTTTTCAACAAATGGTGCTGGAACAACTGGACACCCACAGACAAATAAATGAACACTGACCTAAACCTCACACCTTAAACAAAATGAACTGAAAATGGACCACAGACACAAATGGAAAACATAAAACCATAAAACTTTTAGTATAAAACAGGAGAAAATCTTTGGGATTTAGGGCTAGGCAGACTTTTTAGACTTGACACCAAAGGCACAATCTTTAAAAGGAAAAATCAATAAATTGGACTTTGTCAAAATTAAAAACACTTGTTCTGCATTAGACCATGTTAAGAGGATGAAAAGACAAGCTACAGAGTGGGAGAAAATATCTGCAAACCGCATCTGACAAAATACTAGTATCTCGAATATATAAAACTTAACAGTATAAAAACAAACAATTTAATTAGAAATTGGGCAAAAGACATGAAGAGACATTTCACCCAAGAGGATATACAGATGGCAAATAAGCACATGAACAGATATTCAACATCATTTGCATTAGAGAAATGCAAACTAAAACCACAATGAGATATCACTACAACCTATCAGAATGGCTAAAATAAAAAAGTGATATCACAAAATGCTGGCAAAGATGTGGAAAAACTGGATCACTCATGGATCGTTGGTCAGAACGTAAGATGGTACGGATATTCTGGAAGAGTTTGGCACTTTTGTAAAAACCTGACCATGTAACTACCATACAACCCAGCAAATGAACTCTAGTCATTTACCCCAGAGAAATGAAGATTTGTGCTCAGACACAAAAACCTGTATACAATGTTTACAGCAGTTCTACTCATAATGGCCAGAAACTGGAAACAACCCAGATGTCCTTCAGTGGTTGGCCTTCAGTGGCTAAACGAAAATGCGGTCCATCCACACCACGGAAGCCTACTCAGTAATAAAGGGGAATCAACTATTGAAACACACAAAAACCTAGATGAATCTCCAGGGAATTATGCCAAGCAAAAAGCCAACTCCCAAAGATTATATACTGTATGATTTCATTTATGTAATATTATGGAAATGATAAAATTATGGAAATGGAGAAGAGATTAGTGGTTGCCAGGAGCTAAGGAGGGGGTGGGGGAGGAGAGAAGTAGGTGTGGCTATGAAAGGGCCACAGGAAGCATCCTTCTGGTGACGGAAATGTCCTATATCTTGACTATATCAATGGTAACATCCTGGTTGTTATATCGTACCAGAGTTTTGCAATATGTCACCATTGAGGGAAAGTCGGTTAAGTATACAAGTGACTTTATCTTATTTCTTACATCTGCATGTGAATCTACAATGATCTCAAAGTAGAAAGTTTAACGATAAAAAAACAAAAGGTCCTGATGAGGGAACTTTTTGGGAGTGAAGGAACTGTTCTCTGTTATGAAGTGCTAGTAGTCACATGACTTTATACATCTGTCAAATCTCAATGAATTTTATACCTGGTAAATTTGATTATGTAGAAATTACCTCAAAAAAAGATGATTAACAAAACCCCCACTATGTGAGAATTCTTTGACCCTCCCCAAAGTGTACACTGGAGTCCTGCCCCCTCCCCTCGTGGCTGTGGGATGCTGGGGGACTCTGAGACTGGTCAGGAGGGCCATGCAGCGGCTGCCCTGTTGGCTGGAACATCCATGCTGGGAGTCTGAGATGCCGTGTTGTGAGGAAGCCATGCGTAATGAAGGCCTCCTGCAGGCACTTGCATCAGCAGTCCTGGTTTGGCACCATCCCAGAAGCCTGGGTGTTTGACGTGAGAGCCCATGAGCTTTCCCAAGATTCCAGCCCCAAGAGACAGCATCCCTGCTAGGCTCGGCTCAAAATCCCGACCCACGGAATCCATGAGCCTAAGAAAATGGTTGTTTTAAGCTGCAAGTTTTGGAGTCATTTGTTAAACACCAGGAGTAAAATAGTCAAGTATGATATTACCCTTATTTTACAGAGATACAGAGAGGGCACTTGCCTAAGGTCACATAGCTAGTAATGGCAGATCCAAAACTTGAACCCAGGTGACCTGAACAACAATATAACAGCACCTGTGGAGTAAGTGTAATTACATTCATTTTACAGCGGAATCTCATCTTTGCCGGGCCCAGCTTTAAATTAGTCCCACCTCTAAAAGACAAACACTTTTCTTGACCCTATGCCTTCTTTTCGACTCTCTTTATAGCAAAACTCTTTGAAAATGTTATTTATGGCCTGTTGTCTCTAAGCCTCCTCGAGTGTGCAGTCCCACTAATAAAAATATTTCTGAGCATATACCTCTAATGTACGTTCATTTATAAATCATGTATAGATTTTAATGATATATAAATTCTTCTCAAAAATGCTAAATCTTATTAAAATCATGCCTCTAGCCCTAATTTACAGATTATAGAAAATGCAGGGAACGAGGAGCAATAAAATTACTCTACGTAAAAACAAGTGATAAATACTAGAAAACTGGACTGGCCTCTAATGTTATTCAAAACAAAACAGGAAAAAAAAAAGATGGGGTACTGTTTTAGGTTAAAAGACAATAAAGAAACAGTTAAATACAAATGTGCCAACCTTGACTGGGTGATGGTCCAGAGACAAAAACAGCTACAAAATCTATTTTGGGGACAATTAAATAAATTTAAATATGATTTGAATATTAAATGATATTAAGACATTATTAATTTCTTATGTGTGATAAAAGTATTGTATTTATGAAGGAGAATCCCCTTATTCTTAGGAGATGTATATGGAAGAATTTAGGGGAGAATGTCATGGTATTTGTAACTTATTCTCAAGTGATCTAACAAAAAATAAAGCATATATAGCTATACAGCGAGAAGGCAGATGTGGCAAAGTGTGAACAATTGTTGAATCTAGATGGAAGATATATGGCTATTCATCATATTATCCTTTTAACAATTGTACATGTTTGGAAAAAATTTCAAGATAAAAAGTCAGCGAGAAATTATGCATATTCCATATCGTATTATATAAAGCATTCACAAACTCAGATTTTAAATGGACATGCTAAGCACGTAAACGGAAGCTCTAATGTGTTCTTACATTGCACCAAGGCCACGGACTTCGGGTTTGTTGCCAAACCCACTGGTCAGTTCTCACCTGCCCGTTCATTTTCGCTGTTGGTCGCACCCCATCAACTGTCCTTCCCCCTTGAGCCCTGCGTCTGTGGACGCTCTGCGGTGGACACCCCTCTTGGGAATCCTCCTGGCTCCTTCCCTCCTCATTCAGGTCTCTGGTCAAGTGTCCTTGGCCACCTTCATAAACCAGCCACCCATTGCCTGTCTAGTCCCCACCTTGCTTTATTTTTACTCATAATATGTATCTCCACCTGAAACCATCCTGTAACCGTGCTTGTTTACATGGTCCTTATCTCTCTCCCCCACTGGAAAGGAAGCTTCATGAAAGCAGGACTTTGTTCTCCCCATGGTACCCTCGGAGCCTGACGGGTACCTGGCACATAGGTGTTGAAAAAGTATTTATTAGTCAGAGTGGAGAATTCCAAGACTCGTATCTGCAGAACACGAACGTTTCCAGGGAAAATCCCAGCAGATATTGACATGTGGGCTGATGAGAAGCAATTCATCAATAGCTAAGGCTGCTATCAAAAAGAGGGAGCATTCAGAGGACAAAAAAGAGCTCTTAGGAATCAACGATTAGAGGATAAGGACCAAAAGTCTGCTGGAAAATAGAACACATCAAGAACGGGTAAGAGGAAAGAAAATCTCAGAGCAGGTCTGAAAGGCCCCTGATCAGACCACCAGAAACTCTAGTGAAAGGAGTGGGCGAAGGGAGGAAGGTTTAAGGACATTCCTAGCTTTGAAGGACACGGCCCCCACATGGACAGTGCCCTGAACGTCCCAAACATGGCTCTAAAGGGCTCTGCTAAAGGCCCTTGTCAAGCCAAGGATGATAAGGATGAAGGGAAGACCCTAAAACATTCCAGAGGCAAATTTCAGCATGCACACCAAGGACCAGGAGCCACGGGCATCAGCTTCTTCAACACCGAGCACTACAAGAAAACAAGGCCCTCATATTACACGAACAGCTGCTGCCTATCTGTAATCCTACATCTAGTAGAAGCCACAAGCTCTGGCCAGGCCCCAGATTGGGTAAGTGGGTTAGACCCAAGGCTCATGAGGCACAAACCACTCATATCTTTGCACATGAGATGCTTGCCCTGGAATGACCATCTGGGACCAAGCCAGGCTGAGGGCAGCAGACCCATGTCACTCCGCCACGGTGACGCACAGAGAGCGAATCTGGAGGGGAGTCGGGAACATGAGAGACATGCTATTTATCATTTCTTCATATTGCTTTTTAAAAATGTTTGCTATCTAGGCAATGAGCTGAGCTATCCTAAGTCTCATTTCATCTGACAGGATTCTACTGGATAAATGAGCAAACTGTAGCTCAGAGAAGTCCAGTAACCTGCCTGAAGCCACACAACCAGGGGATAGCAGAGCCCAGAGGCAGCACACACACCTGTTGTCTTATAGCTCTGCCTGGGCCCAGCAGACTCCAGGCTGACCTCTGACCTCTGTGAGTGACAAGTTCCTTAAGACGGCAGTGAGAGGCCCAAACCTACCTCTTCTAACCGTGTCCGCTTCTCGGAGGGCTCTGATCCTTTGTCGCTTTCATTAGCCGAGTGCTCTTCATCCTCCTCTTCATCCCTAAAGATGTCATCGTAGGCGGGAATTTCAAGGTCGTCATCTTGTTTAATGAGTAGCTTGATCTAAAATTAAAACAAAAAGCAATCAGGTTTCTCCTCTCTCCTTGACAGAAAACTATTCATCATACATTTTTCTCTTGTAGAATCTTATTTTCTAATGAGCTGACTCATAAGTTTCCTCTACATATAAATAACCACCTGTCTGAGAAGAATTTCAGACTTCTCAGGCATTTTCTTGTTCTCATTTCCACTCAGTGAGGCACTGGAGTTGCAATGCATAGTATATAGAAACAGCAAAAGTTTGAAAACTCTCTATAGTCACTTAAGTCTGGGAAAAAAGCTCCCTGTTATGCCACACACCCAGCCAACAGATGAACACACCACGACTTGGCCTCTGACAAAAGACATGACGATAGGCCACCCCTAATGGGGTACATTCTGTCTCTAAAGCAGGTCCAGGCCGACTGCTCCTGGAGAGATCCTTCACATGAGAATGCTGGGGCCACCCTTTGTCAGCGTGGGAGGTGAAGACCAACGGTTAGGTCGCTGCTCTGGGCTGGGCTCCGTGCTCGCTGTTGGAGGTTCAAGGAGTGAGCACAGCAGCGCCCTCTCGGGCTCACAGCGGCCTCTCCCACTGCTGTCTTGCTGGTCCTTACACCACCCTCAGATGGGCAGGGCAGGTCCCAGCCCATTTACAGGGCAAATGCCTCTGAGATTCCCTGATATTCAACGAGACTGGGCAGCCCTGAGCTCCAAGGGCAGACTCAGGGCAAGGTTCTGGTCCCACCACCTCCCAGGTCAAGCAAATCCACAAATGCATTCTGAGCACCTCCGAGGGTAAGGTGCCGCGCTTCTCATCAAAGATGGACAAGTTCTTGTCCTCAGGCTGCTCCAACTCCTGTAGGGGAGGTGGATAGAGGCCACGTTGTCTGTGGCATAAAAAGGTACAATCAGGTTGATGGGACAACTCAGGCGAGGCATGGGCCCCAAAGGCCTCATTACCTGGGTATCATTGTATACATTCACGACATTGACTGGCCTGTGGGTGTCGCACACAAAAAATATGGCATCTTCATCGGGCTGAAGGATATCCAATAGGTCTACGTTAGCTCCACAGTTTATGAGGACAAAAGAACGAAACTGAAAAAAGAAGAGGACATTGTGAAGTAAGTGCACCGCGGAGGCCCCTTTACCTCAGCACACTAGGCCTGAGTCCTTCTGCTGACACACATCAAGCCCCTGACACTGGGCAAGGCTCTGAGGGCAAGGGCCTCCCAAGATGGCAATGGCTGGCCTGTGTTAAGAGCTTTAACGTACTCCATGTGCTATTTCATATTCATGATGACACCGTGAGATACCCCATGGCTGGCACCGTGGCTCTCTCCACTTCGCCAAGGAACGTGCAGAGGATCAGCATGCCCCAGTCTCATGCACAGGGGCAAGAAGCTGATGAGGAGCAGGTGGAAACTTCAAATGCATACCTGGGCCTCTCCAGATCTCAGTCACTCTACGGTGCTGTGCTGCTCCTCTATACTAACAGCATTGTACAGGTTTACACTTTTAGCAAACCTTGGGCAGCCCATACTTAATGGGCACCTAAATATTCAATTAAGTCTCTTATTATATCCTATCACTATAGAGAATCCTTTCCTTACAAATACCAACTGGCACAGGTCCCTCCCGTGATGACAGGAGCTCCAGGTGAGGATTTATCTTTGGCAGACAATCCTAGATGTGGCTAGACTCCAGGGAGCTGTGGGGACCGTGGGGTCTAAGATGTCCCACATCTCATTATAGGCCCCATGAAGACGTGGTAGGAGTCCTGGCCTCTACTATTTAAATTATGAAAAGAGAAGATATGTTCCTGGATTTCAAGTTGGAAATTAGAATACATTTTCTTGGGAAGAGAATGTAAAATAGTGGTCTAATCTAAAGTAATTTCAACTAGGCCATATCAAAAACTAACTGCTAAATTCCAGGCACCTTACAATGAAATGTCTGCACACAAATTCAAAGTTAGAGGCTATCCATATTCACTCTTTTTTTGTTGTTGCCCATATTGTCCCTACAACTTGAGGGTAAGTCATGTGGCCATATAGCTCATTTTTCTCTTTCGTACTGCCTAATATAGTTGATACTTACATACATATGCAACCTATTGTGGAAATAGAAAGAATGCTAAATGTTAAGAAATTGCAGTTGAGTAGAAAAAGTCTAATTATTCTAAAATGCATCTCTCATACCTGTTCTTTATGCTCAAGAAATGCAGTTTCAAGTTCTTGCCACCCAGAAACTGGAACCAGTGTATATTGCACGTGGTCACACTGGAACAGGGCCTGGAGAGAGATTATTTTCAAAGCCTATTATAATTAGGGGGTCTGCATTTCCCTTGAAATGCACTTAGAAAAAAATAAGATAGGCTGAGAGACAAACAACATGTGATAAAGTAAGGTTCGTGAAATGTTAAAGGAGAAACTAGGTGATGGGGATATGCGTGTTCACTGCACCAATCTGTCAACATTGCTGTATTTTTTAAAATTACCAAAGGAAAACACTGGGAGAAAAGCTGATCTTATTTCTAGGTCTTCTGAGAAATAGTTCATGACCCAAGGGCCTGCCGAAGTTCATGTAAACATGGCACCACATTCAAAACTCAACCAAGCAAGCCTCTTGCATAACAGACTAAGGAATCTTGTATTTCCAGTATTGCTTATGACACTACTATGCCCTCAGTTGTCACAGATTCCTCTGTCTCAGACCCCACATCTGAGAAGCCACTACAGGTGGGTCCATAGGCCTTTCGAATGCAGCCATTTTTTGCCTAGGTTACAGCAAAAATACTAACTAGTCTCCTTGCCTTTTGCCTAATCCTTCTCTAACCCACCCAATACTGTCCTGCTGGGGATGCGACCTCTCAGAGTCCCCCTTGCCAGCTTTCGGTTGCCATTGCTCCAGCCCCCACCCCTCCTGAGCTCTCACCCGGGTGGGGTTCCCTTACTCCGCTCCTCATCTCCCGCCCGGCGGCCTCCCCCACCGCGTTCCCTCTGGATTCTAAGCCCCCACTTCCTGCCCCACTCTCTGCCCTCCCCGCGCCCCTACCAGCCGCCCAGGCCCAGCCTGCACCCTCCCCTCTCACCCTGGCCCCACCCTCCCAGTCCGCAGGGCTCACCTGAAGGATCTTGCAAGCACACAGGGCGTCCACGTCCGAAGCCACGAAGAGAAGAACCCTCTGTCGGGGGAAGAGTCGGGGAGCTGAGCGCTGCGACCTGAACCCATCTCCTCCCGCTCTCCCATGGCCGCTCCCCCTCATCTCTTTCCCCCAAAAAGCCCTCGGGGTCCAAGAAAGGGGGTCACCTGGCTCTGGACCACCTCGTAGAACTCCTTGCGGAAATCGGACACGAACATGGCCACGGCGGCCGGACACCAAGAGCTCGCGCTGAGACACCAAGAGCTCCGGCCGCGGTCAAGACTCCCGCCAAATCAGGGCTCTTCCGATTGGCCCAGGGGCCAACCCATAGCTACTTAGTTCCCGGCCCGTCCTCTTTTCTGATTGGTCCATATTTAAGGCGGGCAACAGGCAAGACGCAAACGCAGTTGCCCACTTCAACTCTGATTCCCGTTTACCCAGAAACCCGACTCTCGGTGGACATCTTTACTTTGGGAAGAGCAGCCCATTACCTCCCACTGGGAGCTCCAGGAAAAATTTATTTATTCCCATCGTAAATTAAATTTACTTATGCATCGAACGAGAGCATCAGTTTACGATTTCAATGGGCTCTCGGTCTAGTTTGAAGGCGGATGTGTAGCTTACTTCCGCCCGAGTCCTCGATGGCTACGGCAAAGGCCGGAAGGTCTACATGCATTCTGGGTAGTGTAGTCAGTAAGGAGAATGGGCCCAACTAAACTCGTCTAGAGGGGAGTACTATCAAAATGTAATTTAAAATAATTATAAACATTACTCTAGAGTGGGTCACACGATAGGAGACGGTATTTCAGTGCTTATTCCGTGGAAATTTTAGACTCTAGCGCCTTTGCCTCGCTTTTTCTCTTTTGCAGCCGACTCCTGCCCTCGGCGCCTCCCCCCGGGTCTCAGGCCCAGCACTTCCGGTGAGCCTCCTGGGCGTCGGAGCCGAGGAGGCGGCGGCGGAGGCTGTGGGGAGAGCGGTCGGTGGGCTCCCATCGGAGCTTTCCCTGGGCGAAGCGGCGTCTGCGAGGCAGAGGTGTCCATCATGGTGAGCGCGGCTGGGCAGGGGCGGGGAGCTGGGGCTGCGACCGGGAGCTGGGGCTGAGGGCTGAGGGCCGACGCTGGGCCCGGCGGGGCGAACGTGACGGCCACGGAGATGCCGAGTCACCTCGGCTGGAGCCCGGCCCGGGCGCCCCCGGCCGGAGCCGGACCCCTGACCACCAACGGCCTCGGCTCGTCTCCGCTTGTCCGGGGCATGGTTCGCATTTCCTCTCAGTTGGACTTGAACTCCTTGAGGGGAAAAAGGAGCCTTCTAGTTGCAAGTGCTAGACACGTGGCAGGTTTCCATAAACACCAAATTAATTGGAAGGTTGTTGGGGGCGAGGAGCAGAATCAGGGGTCCCAGGGAGAATGCGGGGGGCCACCCCGCTGGAAGGGAACGGCAGCTCCCCGAGCCCAGTGCCTCGGGTGTGCTGAGGCCTTCGGCTCTCTGAGCGGTTGGGTAAGGATAACAGTGGGAGTTCCTAGTCGCCGGCGCGTTTTCCATTGCGCAGCTTTTCTTTAACGCCTGCAGTTCCTCATTGCGACGCATCCCGTTTAGTCCCTACAGTGCCCTTGGAGGCACGGGTGGTTGTTATTTTAACCATGAGAAAACGGAGGTTTAAAGAGGTAGATAGTCTACTCGGGGTCAGAAAAGTGAGGAGTGGAAATCTGAAGCCAAGTCTGTCTGTCTGCAAAGCTGTCTCTTTAGCATTGTACAGCGTGGCCTCAGTGTGGCCTGTTTTTTTCAGTGAAAACAAGGAACGACTATTAGATTTTATCCCAAGCATGTCAGTATTGAATCATATTTCTCTTCTCAACTCTGTCCACTTAGCAGACATTGAATACCTGCTAGGTCTAGGCAATGTGCTAGGCGTTGGGTTCATAAAGGAAAGTAGGACTTGGGGTAGGGAGCAGGAGGGCAGGGCATAAGGTCAGGATCATGGGTAGATGGAAGGCAGATGGAAGGCAGATTGTTAGGGATGTTGAATACGTTGTGCACTGTTCCTCTGTGATGTTGTGAAGAGAAGTGGCTTAGACGGGGAGGTGGTGAGAGGGCTCCCCGGGGTGCCCACGCCTCTCTCTTCTTTCATCTGGAAATCCTGTTTCATTTGTTAGGCTTCTGGCCAAGCTTTGTTCAACAGAGCTGCTGTTGAAAAAGAGAGATAAAGGTTTGAAAACTACTGTGCTCGAGCTCCAGGGAGTGAAGAGCCATTTGAGATTTTAAGCAGGAGCATGCTATATTTGCTTTTTAGAAAGGGAGCTCATTCAGCTTACTAATTTTGGAATTGCTAGTAAACTACCTATCAGTAGATGGCTTGCCCTCTACTTAATTTATATTTGAAACCAAGTCAAGAAATATTTGTCTATTGTGAGAGTTTATTTTAACTTATGGTAAAAAACACGTAACAGAAAGTTACCATCTTAACCGTTTTTAAGTGTACAGTTCAGTAGTGTTAACCATTCCCGCTGTTGTGTAATGACTCTCCAGAACTTTTTCATCTTGCAAACCTGACACTCTAGCCATTTAACAACAGTTCACTACTTCCCCTCCCCCAGCCCCTGGCAACTGCATTCTACTTTCTGTTTCTCTGAATTTGATGACTCTAGGGATCTCATATAAGTGGAATCATACAGCATTTGTCTTTTTGTGACTAGCTTATTTCGCTTACCATAATGTCCTCAAGGTTCATCCTCTGTGTAGCATGTGACAGAATTTCCTTCGTTTTTAAGGCTGATTGATATTCCATTGTATGGATATACCACGGTTTGTTTATCTGTTCATCCATCGGTGGACACTTGGGTTGTTTCCACCTCTTTGCTATTGTAAATAGTGCTGCTGTGAATATGGGTGTACAGATATCTCTTCAGGACTCTGTTTTCAGTTTTTTTGGATATTGTGTAATTGTGTATTCTTTTTTTAAAACATCCTGGTAATTGCAATAATTTGAGAAGACCCTAGATTGCCATGGAATGTGTTGGCTAAGCCTCAGAGTAATCCACAGTTTAAGATCTGGGATCTTAGCTTTGTGATGGCACCATGTCTTGGCTTTACTTATGAATGGGAGGAAGTACTATGGCATAGCATGTGAGAGCACATTGGAGGGGCACCATCCCAGACCTTGGGCAGAGCAGGAAGTTTCCTGGAGCAAGGAAAGGATGGTCGTGGAAGCCAGGGGAAGGCAGGGGTGCAAACGCTGGGCACCTGCTCTTCCTGCTGCCTGGAATGCCATTCCCTGCTTTCTGCTGGCACCCTTTCCTGGCATTCAGGTCTTTGCAGAGTGCCTTCTTGACCAGCCGTTTAAAGCAGCATTCCCAGGAACTCTCTGTCTCTTACTCTCTTGTCCTCAGAGCATTCATCACTGCCAGACACGCAGGCGTTTTCTTTGCCTGTTTCTTATTTTGAATGTTGGCTCCACCAGGGCAGAGATTGTACCTGTTTTGTTGGTAAGCAGACATAACTAGAGTGATGTTTCCCTGGTGCTTAGATCAAGCCTGGCAGATAGTGGGCACTCAGCAAATAGATGTTTTTTAAATTAATGAGAAGAGAAAAAGTGTCCAGGCCGAGGAACTAGCCTTGCAGGGACGTGGCATGTGTAGGAGATTGTGGGGCCATCAGAAACCAGTCCTTGAGGTGTGTGCAAGGTCTGCCTGGATCCTGAGGTGTTTGCAGGCTGAAAGAGATTAAGGATGGCTGGCCGTGGCCAGTTTTATATTTTAGTAAGTTCATACCATCTGAAAACAGTGGAGACTAAATCGGTGGGACGAGACTGGGCATGGCAGAATGGGTGGAAACAGAGATTTGAGATTCACTGTGCTACCGGGAAGTGTTCAGGCAGACTGCTCTGATCCATCAGGATTTCGAGGCCATTTGCTCTTCGACAGCATTTAGCGCAGTATTAACTACCCTGACCTGTTTGGGCTTTTGACGAGAAGAAATGTACCTTTGTTCTGTTCTAACTCCAGCATTTCTTTCCTCCTCCTAGTTTTCTTTCAACATGTTTGACCACCCGATTCCCCGGGTCTTCCAGAACCGCTTCTCCACACAGTACCGCTGCTTCTCCGTGTCCATGCTCGCGGGGCCGAATGACAGGTCAGATGTGGAGAAAGGAGGGAAGAGTATGTGCTTGTTTTTATTTTGAATAGTAACCTTTCCTGCCCTCAGCCTGCAGTGCTTGTAGTCCTCACCAGTCCTTATTTTGCATGTGTAACCAAAGCTAGTTACAGTGAAAATGTTGCTTGCCCCAGACTTGCTGGTGGGGGGGGGTGGGAGGGGAATCCTAATTATGATTAGATTTATGGCCCTGTGGCCAAGTGGTTGAGTTTGCACCTTCCACTTCAGTGGCCCAGGGTTCGTGGGTTCGGATCCTGGGTGCAAACCTACACACTGCTCATCAAGCCGTGCTGTGGTGGTGTCCCACATAGAAGAACTAGAATGACCTACAGCTAGGATATACAACTATGTACTGGGGCTTTGGGGAGGAAAAAAAAATTTATGGCTAGTAGCCATTAGGTTCCCCTAATGTAAATTCCAGCAAGTAAATTCTTTATGAAAGATCATTATAAAATTCTGGCTACTCTACAAGGATTGTTGAATATGTTTTTAGATATAACAGAAACTGCATTTTGGCTTTTATTCTCTCCTTTTAATTTTCATTTTCTTAATATTTCTTATATGTTCTTTCTACAGTAATTATGCCTCCTTCAGCCTTAGATCAACTCAGTAAGTATTTTCCATGTGACTTGAGAACTGGGGTGATGTAAATATGGATGCTAGGAACTCAGCACACCCTCCTCAGTATGTCCAGACACAGGCAACCTTTGTCATGTCTGGTCAGGGGTTGACCCTGGTGCATGCATGCTGGGCTGGGAGAGCTGGGGCCGCAGATGCCCAGTGAGGTGGTGGCCAGCTGTGCAGGCTAGGGGCCAGTGAGTACTCAGCTCCAGGACCCTCCTCTGCAGGGGGTACCACTCCCCTGACACACACATACATACACCCTATCTTGGGTCCCATCAGGAGTAAAGGAGGGTGTGAGCATCAGTGCTTTCTTTCCACAGTTCCGGGCCAGCTGATGCAATAGGCTGGGCTTACTAGGTTTTCTCCTGAAGGCCGGTGGTCAGCTCCCAAGAGAATGCTTCGAGGCAGGGGTCTCATCTCCTCCCCCAACATCTTTCCTCAGCTCTGGCCTGAATTTCTAACCCCCTCTTTCCTACTGCATGTGTAGCTTGTCTCTTCCGCCCCAAAAGCTGCTCCTCTCACTGGGGCCTGCCTCTTTCTAGGAGCAAGAAAAGTCCCCCAGTTGTGAGAGAGGCCATGCTTTCCCTCCCTTCCCCCAACCTCTCATCCCCTGAGAGCAACTTGAAGACCTCGTGGTCCCGGCCTGACTCCACCTGGACTCAGAAAACCTGATCACAGGCGCAGTCATTGCCTTTTGAGATTTAGTGATGTTTCTGGTGTGAATTCCTCCCATCCAAGACAGGAGACGTGGAGGCCTGCTGGCGGGTCCACTCCTGGTGTTGGGTGCACATGGCTGCAAGGTGGGGAAAGGGCACTGGTTCTGGTGTCGCTCCAGCTCAGGCTTTGCACCTTACCCGGCCTGACTCTAGAGTAGTCACTTGGCCCCCCTGAACCCCAGTGTCCTCATCTTTAAATGAGGATACACATAGCCTGTGTGGCTAGAGTACTTCCCCCTGGATGGTGCCCTCTGATGTGTGTATGAACAGCCCAAGCCCACGTGACACCAATCAGAAGGCAGGAGGTGGCCTTTGGCTAGCAGAGCTTAACTGATGCCAGCAGCAGCAGCAGCAAAGCAGGCCTTTAATTCTGGCCTCAGTCAGAGGGTGGATAGAGCCATGGGGTTCACAGCCCTCAGGCAGGCCCTTGTCATCACAGAGGAGGGAATAAGACCCCCAGAGAGCCTGCTTTTCTGGTTGAGCTGACATAGGAGCTAAGCACCAGGTGTGACCCTTGGCATAGGTGTCTGAGAAGGGACTCAGGATTGGGACAGTGGGGCTTAGATCAGTGTTGTTCAGATCTTTTAAGTCATGGAAGAAACTTTGTCCAAATGAAATAGGGAGTCCTAATTTATTAAAAGGGTCGCTGCTCAGATTAGAGGAGATGAGGCCTCCAGGCGGAGGGCTCGGGAACCCCAAGACACGTTTCTAAATCACAAAATGCAGTTTGAAAACCACTGAGGAACACAAGGGTCTTTTCCAATGGCAGGAATCTTGGACCCTTAGCTGGAGCCTGATCCCAGTTCACCCTGACTGACTATGGTTCAGCTCCATGGCTCTAGAGCTGGGAGGCACCCTGTTGACAGAGGGCCTGGCCTCTGGGCCCTTGGCCACTGTACTGCCAACATCCAAGTCACCTTTGGTGATGGGGGGAACACTCCTGCCCACTGCTGCCTCCACAGTGAGGCACCACTTCCAGTGGCTCTTGCCTCTCAGTGACTTCCTGCCCAAGCTCATTAAGTCGATCTGCTTCACCAGAAGTTTTAGGGAGATCCCGAACAGAGTCTGCCATACCTCCTGCTGCTGAATGGCACTTCTGTTCCCGTGTTTGCCTAAACCAACAGGCTAAAGTGGGCCTCACGGGTTAAGGTGCAGACCTGGGCCAGCCATCTGGGTCGAATCCTGGTGTTGCCACTCCTGGGCTATGTGATCCTGGGCATGTTGCCGCACCTGCATGTCTGAGTTCCTTGTAGATAAAAGGGATAATGACAGTACATACATCACAGTTTTGCGAAGACTGAGCAAGGGCCTGGCGCATGACAAACACTGTCACTATGTCAGTCCATCCCGGACTCTTCCCCCTGGTCCCTGATTCTCCTGAGTTCTGCTTCAGTTCGCCAGCCCCTCCTTTCTGTGCCCCCTGCACTCCTGAGTCAGCATATCAGCTGTCCTGTTTGCCTGCCTCTGGCCATCCATGTGGCCTCACCTTAGGGACCACTAGAGTGAGGGGATGTACCATGTCATGACCTGCCGAGAGCCCACACTGCTGACCAGTTCCATCCTGTGTGGTGTCCTGCCCGATCTCCCTCCCCTCCCACCCATTCCCACACCCTGTCCCCATGCCCCCATCTCACCTAATTGCCAGTCATTCCCCAGTTGGCTGGGTTCCTCTTCCCTCCATGCGTTTGCTCAGGCTGCTTCCTCTGCCTGGAGTTCTCTGCCTGGCATGCTGCCTGTGACTCGTGACTTGCCTGGAGGAAGCCCTACAGGAGCCCTCCTGCTGCCCCTCCCTTCCCTCAACGCCACAGCATCGGAGTGTACTTGTTTTCTTTCTTGCCTTTCTAACTGGAAACTTTGGAAGGCAGGGATTTTGTCCAGAACATGGGTGGCACTCAAATTATTTGCAAATAAATGAGTGAACATGCCACTTTTTAAAATTGGGATTTCAGAAAATCACAAGTATGAGCTGGTGCTGTGTTTCTGACTCATTGACCATTCCCGAGCTACTCCAGGCCAAGTGCTATGCTCTTGCAGGGAGTGTGGGGTCTGGTGGGTGGGCAGACACCCAGGGACTAAGTGCCACATGGGTCTGGGAGCCTGCTCTGGGGGTTGAGGCTGCATGGAGCCGCAGTGGACCCCTGAGGAGGCTGTTTTCCAGGGGAGGGCTTTGAAGGAGCAGTTTCTCTCCCTGGCAGAAGCCGTGCCTCATAGCCTCTCTCTCCTTTTTAGGCCGACTCAACATTACCTACCCGATGCTGTTCAAGCTGACCAACAAGAACTCGGACCGCATGACGCACTGTGGCGTGCTGGAGTTCGTGGCCGACGAAGGCATCTGCTACCTCCCACATTGGGTGAGTGGGGCCGCCCCGTCTCTGGAGAGAGGGGCCTCGTAGGCAGGGACGCCCCAAGCATGTGCACAAGTCCTGCCTCTGAAACAGTGGCAGGGCTAGAGGGAGGGGATTCGGGGCAGTGCGCCACGTGCCGGGGCGACCTTTTCTTCCACAGTCGCTCAACTGGTAGGCTAGAAACCACAGCCAGCTGTTAAACTGTGATCTCCTAAGTCAGGCTTTTTTACAAATAATGAAGCAGGAGTATTTTTGAAATGGTCTAAGTGTAGAATTTTAGATTTTTATACATTTTCTCCTCATTTTTAGTAGTTTCTCTTCCAGTTCTGTCACGACATGTGTGTGTTTAGACACTTGCCTGTAACTGAGTTTTCCCAAAGCTGTGGAAATGAAGCCTCTCTTTTGCACTCAGGCTTTCTCTGGAGGCTGAGTCCTTCCTGAGTGTGAGGCCTGGCCACCTCTCCCCACAGGAGCCCTGACGCCCTCACACCTGTGTCTGGCCTCTCCAGTGCTATTTCTCAGTCTTGTCCTGTGGGGAGGTCTTACTTGTGCCTCCAAGCCCAGATCTGATTCATTTCCCTGCTCACTTGCCCTCCCCAGCACTTGCCACGCAGGGCCTCACTGTCATGTGTGGTCTGCATGTGCCCCTCACAGGCGTGAGGCCTGTCCTGCTCATCTGGGAGAGCGCTGTGATTGGCTGAAGTGTAGGGCAGTGACAACTTCCTGGGGCCACTCTGGATCTGCAGAGGCCCCTCTGTGGCCCGTCTGTAGAGGTGAAAGAGGAGCTGGTGATACTGGGATACACATGACCTCAAAGGTTCTCTCTCCAACACGCAGACTTGGAGTTTGGGTGGTCCTTTGTCCAGGCTCTCAGACCACTTTGGACCCCAAAATTCGCTGAATCCCTTTTGCCAGGAAACATCACATCCCCTGGGAAGCCTCTTTCGGTAGCATGGAGCTGCCTGCCCGCCTCTTCCTGGGCTGGTCTTGCAGCTCTTGGCAGGAGTAGGTGGTTGCCTGGAGTCTCCCAGCAGCTGCAGCAGAGCTAGTCTAAGGGCCTCCTGGCTCCCAGCAGGAGTACGAGCCAGTGCTTTCTGTTGGCTGATTGGCAGGCTCCATCCCACCCGGCGCCCTGGCTTCTTCAGGACTAGTGAGCCTGAAACAGGCGCTGGCCTTGGTTCCAGCACCTGGGCTCTCATTTGCTGACCTAGACCAAGATCCCTGCCCAGGGCCACTGCGAGTGCGTGGCTATGTACTGCCAGATGCCTGTCGTCCTGTGTGCACTCCGTGGTCCTCGCTGCCCTCCGGGGCTTAAGTATAACACGGCCTGGGCCGGGTCTGGAGCACGCCTCCTCGCTGCCCTTGGGCTCTTACCCCTTTCTCTCCCCAAGTCCTGTCTGAACCTGCTCTTCAACCATGGGCAGGTGACCTGAGCTGCTGCCTTTCCTCCTTGAGCTGCCTGTGGCTCTGTCCTTCCTTCTGCCGTTAGTTATCCTCCTTGCCGTCACTGACAGATTTCCCAACAAGTCCTTAACGGACTGTGAACTTGACCTGCAGCAGGCTGACTTCCACCCCTTAGAGTGCTTCCTATGAAAGCTTCACTCTCCAAGGTCACCAAACCTCTCAGTTGTCAAATTCATTGCCTCTCCATCCTACTCGGCCTCCCTGCGGCATTTGGTGGAGCATCCACTCCTCCATTTCTGTCATTCCCTGCCTGGTAAGCACCCTTCGATGCGAGTGAGCTGGGGCCTCTGCAGGCTTGTCCACGGGGCCCTGTTCACCCTTCAGCTTCGCTCATGGCTCTGCCTGCCCTGGCCTTGGCCTCCCTCACCCCTGCACCTTGTCCCTCAGCTGTTCAAGGCACATCCTAACCACCAGTTTTGAGCCCCTGTGGGTAGCGGCTCTGTGGGAACAGTGAAGCGTTCCTTTCACCTTCCTGGTCTGGCGTTCTTGAAAGGATGTGATGCCTGGGATTGGCTCCAGGGCAGCCCACTGTGGGATGGGGCCGGGGAGTAGGGCAATGATAGGTGAAGCGAAGTCAGCCGTAACCCAATTACTGTTGAAGCTGGGGGTGGGTTTGTAGAGGCCCACTCATGCAGTTCTCTCTACTTTTGTATGTTTGAAATTCCCTTTAAGAAGGTTTAAAATAAGAAAAGCAAAAAACATTCCAGGACATGCAGAGTTTCTCATTTCTGGCCCAACCTCCTTGCCTCGGACTCCTGAGTCTTGGCCTGGCTGCAGGGTCCCAGCTCCCGGCACACCAGATACTCCTGGGCCTTAGTTCACATTTTTCCGTCTCATTGCTCAGTGGGCATCTGCCTCGCAGGGTGGTTTAATCGACGTGGAGGGGTGTCTGTGTGGGTTTTATATAACCTCCTGTAGCAGACATCTCTGGGGCCTTGTTACCACCCTGCGGCCTCAGCTGTGGGACCCTTCCATGCGAGGTCAGTCCGCCTGGTACTGTCATCATCCTCCCTCAGGTGCAGCCCTGTTTGCCCCACGGCCTTATAAGTTGGGCATGAGACAGCTTGAAAGTTGGGGTGGTGAGCTTCCCTGGGGAAACACTGAGCCCTGAGGATGTCTGGAGCTGGTGGGCCATGCTGCACCCCCCCAACCCTTCCAGCAGAGATGCCACATGCCAGCTACCACAGCCTCGGTAGCACCCCTTATTGGCCTCCTTCTTTCCACATCTTTGTCTCATTTGCTTGCTTGCTTTTTCTTCCTTCCTGACATCAAACTACAATTCGATGACCTGTCCCCAAGTCCTTGTCTCAAGCTGCTCTTCTGGGGACCCAAGCAAGAGGCCATCTGAATGTCAGACTTTGGCCTGCCTGGTGTACGGATCAGTGGCGCTCATGCTGGCCACTTGGTTTCCAGGAGTCTCATGTAGCCTTCTTCTTTTAGATGATGCAGAATTTGCTCTTGGAAGAAGGGGGCCTGGTTCAGGTGGAGAGTGTCAACCTTCAAGTGGCCACATACTCCAAATTCCAGCCTCAGAGCCCTGACTTCCTGGACATCACCAACCCCAAAGCAGTGTATCCTTTTGAAATAAGAAGGGCTCTTCAGACGAGGGAGAGGGCTGCTGACAGTCGGTGAGCAGCGAGTGCTTGGTTGAGCACATGCTTACTTTGGGGACCACACTTTTGTTCGTGATTGAAGTTGTGATTTTGAGACTAAGGGCATTCAGCCAGCATGTCCGCCATGCCTCCTGGACCTGGGCCTGGACAAGCGTGCTGCATGCTGGGTGCTCTGAATACTCTGCGCACACTCCTGGAGGGCAAAGTAGAACCCTTTCTTCAGGTGGACTGTGACACCTGGCACAAAGCCCAGTGTGTTCTGGTGGAAGAGGGGCCAGCTGGTCTGCCTCTCAGCCCCAAACCCCTCGTGGGCCCCTGGTGCCCCAGCTCAGCCATGAATTCACTGCTCAAACTCACCTTTTACCCAGGTTTAGGGCTTTTCACTCAAAACCAGTAGGGATCATTCATTTAGTACATTTTCTGTCTCTCAGAAAGAGGAAAGCAAAGGTTTGAGGTTCTAGTGATTTTTTTTTTTTGTATGTTCTGTGAACTTAAGCCAGATGCATGTGTTTACAATTTAAGGGGTGACCAGTATGGGCGAGGGGCGTCCTTCGTGTGGACTTTGGTTGAGATCTCTAGCGTGGAGATCCCAGTTTGGCTTGTTGAGATCATGTGATAGAACGAGCACTCCACTCCCTATTTGTCTTTAAAAAAGCATGATTGAAAAAGACGGTTGAACAACACAGACAGGTAGACAGTTAAAAAAAAAGCTGCCTCTACCCTTCCCACCTGCTCACTTTTCCCAGGCCAGAGCCTGGGAGCAAGCTGCTGCTGGTCATGTCCTGGACGCAGGTGAGCTGTGTTAAGTCCTCTGACCCTGTCTGTGTATGGGCGTGTCCAGTCCCTTGTGGACACAGCAGTCGGTGGACACTTCCTGCAGGCAGGACTGTTCTGTGGCAAGGTCTGGCTGGAGCACTGCCTTTGAGGTGCTTTTCTGGCTGTGAGTGGCCAGGAGTAGGGCCTGGCTCTGTGACCAGAACCCCTTGCATTTGACTTTGGTCAAGTAAAGTTGCGATGCAGACTTTACCAGATTTCCCTCAGAGGCTGTTTCTGTCAGCATAGTTAACTTGTGAACGCGTGGAGAGAGGGCGTCACCTTCATCAGCTGAGAGGCAGCCGGGTGCTCCCTGATCTGGCTGACAGTCTGGGTAAAGGCAGTCTTAGTGGAGAGCAGAGGAGGTAGGGGGCATGCAGAGATGCGGTGCAGGAGCCAGCTCCGCCCTCAGGCCAAGTGGGCTGGGTCTGACAGCTCAGGGGTCACCGGGGGAAGTCAAGGACAGGGCAGCCCTGCAGTGTGGCGTTTCATGGGAGGGAGTGAAGATGGTGTGCCACACAAGATCCTTTGCACAAAGCTGTTATCATCCTGGAAGGCTGTTTGACCAAGAGAAGGGAACACAGACAGCCTGGCTGTTTCTCCCTCAGTCAGACTCTGAGATCTTCACGCAGTTGTGCCACGTCACAGTGGCAGATTCTGGAGCCACGTTTTATGTTCAACCTTTACATTGAAAACAGTTCAGTAAATTGATTGGGATGACATGGTTAAAAATATTTTGTGTGATTAAGCATTATTCCCTTATCTGGGCATTTGGGTTATTCAGTTTTTAAGAATTTATTATTATTTACTATTATAAAAAGGGCTTACAGGTTACTTTTTCCTTTTTAATTTTTATTTTGGAACATACTTCTGAAGTTGGGTTACTGCCCAAAAGACAGAAACAGCAAAAGTGTAAATGAAAACATCTTTGATGTAGAGGAACTTTTGATGGGACCTATCTGATTCATTCAATCTTTTTTTCTTTTGTGCTCCCATGGGATTTTTTTAAATCAACTCATTGATGGATAATTAACATACAATAAAATGCACACATTGGTGAGTTTGACAAACGTGTACACCAGTGTAACCAGACTTTTCCATCTCCCAAAACGTTCTCTGCCCGTCCTTGCCTGACCCCTGGCCCCAGCAACCTCTCAGCTGCTTCCTGCCCACAGAGAGCTGTCTTTCTTAGGGTTCCATGTGAAGGGCATCTTACCACTCTGGCTGATTCTTTCCCTCAGCAGAGTGAGACTCATCCATGTTATTGTGCATTAGAAGCCAATTCCTTATTGCTGATTGGTATCCTGCTGTATCAAACCTGTGGATTTTAATACCAGCCTGGTACACTTCTGTCCAGTACACTCAGTCTGTGACAGTGACCACCTACACCCCTCACAGAAAGTTGGTTCAGATTCAAGCTATCTATCTTGCCATGTTGCCTTGACAGCGTGTGTCTGCAGATTAGAAAACGCATTGAGAAACTTTGCCTGTCTGACCACCGGGGATGTGATTGCCATTAACTACAATGAGAAGGTGGGTGTCTCAGCCACGGGGCCAGTAGGGACTGGAGCCCAGCTTGGTGTAGGTTGCACCTAATCACAACCACTTGCAGTGCCATTCTGATGTCTGAATGGAGTTCTTTTTAAGGAAGGTATGCCTGGCTTTTATTAACTAATTGCTGCATACTGTTCCCTTTTCTAATCTTTATGGGTCCATATTTGGAGCCCTGTACTAATCATTCAACAACTCTGTGTCGAGAAATCATTGATTGCATTTAGAAGTGAATGAGCTTAACGTCGTTGTACTTACTCATTGTACCTCTGTGTACCATGGTGGCAAGACTGCCCATCTCCTCAGTTAGAAAGGTCTCCATTCTACCTGTAATCTGAGCTAAGCCCTTTGCTGGGCTGCGGGAACACAGAAGTGAGCTGGCCTGGGTCCCTGTCATGTGATTCCTTCCCTTGGAAGTAGACAGGCCCTCTTGGAGCTGGCCCTGCAGTGCACTCCAAGTGCCGTGGGACAGGTGGGAAGCAAGCCTGGGTGCACTGGGGACAGTGCTGCCTGAAGTCATCTTTCCTTGTGAGGGCGCACATCCCCTTCCCCTGTTGTCTTTGGTTTTGGTTTTCCCTTAGCAGCTCCTCTGCTCTTGACCCTTCTTGATACAAAGCTTTCGGGTCTGAACACCTCTTATTGTTGATCCCAGATTCTGTGGTGTCTGGATCTAGACAACTGAGCTGTAAAGTGAAATACCGTACAGTGTCCTCAATTTTCTCATTCATTTCATGCATAATAGACAGATGAGTTCCCACAAAATTCAAGATGCCATCCACTTCCCCGTTATCCATGGCAACATGTCTGAGGGAAGAAGTAACAGTTGGCAAACGTGCTGATAGCCCATCCCTCCTCAGGGATGGAGCACAACAATGTGGTTGCCACCCATCCACTGTGACCATGGATGATTGACCCTCATGGAGCTGCTGCCAGGGCAGACCCCCTGGTACTCAGGAGTGACCACAGCCCCAGCCTGGCTTTCCCAGAGGCCAGCTCTTGACTCCTTCACACACTCTCTTGTCCCCTCTGGGACTGGGGCACTCACAGCTGTGAACAGGAGCCTGAGGTCCAGCCAGTCCCCGCCTTCAGGATCAGGAAGCCAGTTGTTCCCTCAGTGTCATTACAGGGATCCAGTGTGTTCTCTGAAGTTTCCCTCTATCTGAGGTATCTGATACTGAGAACACTTTTTTTTCAGTTTTGGGGGTTTTGAATCACACTTTTTTTTAAGGTATGATTTTTGGTGAGGAAGATTGGCCCTGAGCTAACATCTGGTGCATCTTCCTCTTCTTGTTTTCTCCCCAAATCCCCAGTACATATTTGTATATCCTAGTTGTAAGTCATTCTAGTCTTCTACATGGGATGCCACCACAGCATGGCTTGATGAACAGCGTGTAGGTCTGTACCCAGGATCCGAAGCCAAGCGCACAAACTGAATCACTATACCACCAGGCCGGCCCCCATGAGTCACACTTTCTATGTGTTCATAAGCTAACAAATAATTTTGTGGGGCCGGCCCCATGACTGAGTGGTTAAGTTCACGCACTCTGCTTTGGCAGCCCAGGGTTTCGCTGGTTCAGATGCTGGGCATGGACATGGCACCGCTCATCAGGCCATGTTGAGGCGGCATCCCACATGCCAGAACTAGAAGGACCCACAACTAAAATGTACAAGTATGTACTGGGGGGATTCTGGGAGAAAAAGCAGGAAAAAGAAAAAAAGATTGGCAACAGTTGTTAGCTCAGGTGCCAATCTTAAAAAAAAAAAGGAAAGAAAGAAAGAAAGAATCTTGTTGCCTTTAGCTTTGTGGGGGAACATTTTAGGTATTACCTACCTAAACTGAACACTTCAAGCTTTTATAATTACAGGAAGGCTTAATGTTATTGTTTTTAATATCAAGATAGTAACACTAAATATGACTCAAATTGATGATAAAGATAATGAAGGAGGGTGAGTTACACAGCATAGACATAGGATTGACATGTATTTTTGGATGTCCACTTTTGGAAGTACAGGAGATGAGATACTCCAAAGGGCCCTTCTGATAAAACTCAATTAAATCAGTATAAAACCCAGATTACTAATACATTGTTGGGCTCGCAAGAAATATAGAAGTTTTCAAGAATCTCTCAACAGGGTTGACCTGAGGGCAAATGGCCTTGTCAGTGCTGTGTTGGGAGGTCTGAATCGCAGATTTCCACATTAAAGTGGAACTCTTAAAGGGGCCAAAATAGCCCCGTGGGTGGATGTTGTCCTCATCCCAGGAGAGGGAACTCAAATTCTCTCTGGGAAAAGCACCCCCAGTTTAGTTAAGCCCTCGGGATTGCTATAGATTGAACAAGCAAACAGGAGCTCATAATAAAACCACCAGCCAGCCAAAGCAGAGACGACAAAAGCAGATTTAGACCCGCTAGGGAATCAGTGTTGGAATTTTCAGGAGCAAATATAAGATAATTAGGTATAAATTGTTCAAAGAAATTAAAAAGCAGAATCATGAAATTTAGCAAGCAACAAAAGACTCAAAAAAACCAGGAAGATTTGAAAAACAATCAAAGTGTTAAACAACAGCTTACAAAGAATTAATGAAATGAAAGTTAAATCTGGAGAAATGCCTTAGAATTCTGCACAGAGAAGCAAGGCAAGGGAGCATATGAGAGAGTGAGGTCCTGGAGATCCTGAGACACACAGGCATGCTCAGAAACATTCCAGCAGGAGAGAACGGAGGAGTGGAGTGGCAAGATGGTGAAGAGATAACAAGTGAGATTGCTTTAGAATTCACCATCAGCCCAGTTACAGAAAGTACAATGTATATCAAAGAGTATAAGTTGCAGATAGCAAATACCAGACTCGGAGGGGGGAGTGGAGGGAAAACACGCTACTTGCAAAGGAGCGCCTCAGAGCTGTTATGGCCCAAGCAGCGAGAAAGTAACTGTCAGCAAGCCTTTAGGGAATGAGGGCAAAATCAAAATATTTTCAGATAAACAAAATCTGAGAGAGTTTATTTACCAGTGGAGCTTCAAAAGTATTATCCTAGAAGGAAAGTCTAGGGTTCCAGAAGGAATGGTAAACAGATAAACTGGCAAATATGAAGCAAGTCATGGTAAACATTACCACATAAAGCAGTAATAATATTTAATGTATAAGGCTTAAAAGATGACCTCGAAAATACTAGAAAAGAGTAAGTCTAGAGAGTTGCTCAGAATTCAAGTGTTCTCTATTTACAATTCAATAAAGTTAATAAAAATAACTGAAAACTACATACATGAGGAATGTTGAAAAGTAGTTTAAAATTACTCTTTTAGATACAGCATGACAATACATAAAACTAAAAAATGTCACAAAAGTGTTTGTCCTTACTACATGCAACATACTATAGTATTTCTATCGTACTATCTTCCAGAATTTTTCTCTCCTAGTTCTGGTTGCAGCACACTTGGTTTAATGACCTGCTAATTACCGTGATCTGCAGTTTGAAAACACTACTGCAGAGAAACATGAATATGTCCTCCTAGAGACACGTAGATATCCGAATGTTCATAGCGCGTTGTTAGTGATTGCAAAACAGATGCAAACAGCCCAGATGTTGAGTGGAGAAATTGTGATACATCCACACAGTGACATACATATTCATTTCTACTTATCTTCTATTAAATAAAGAGGAAAGTTAAAAAAATAGATGAGTACGTTGAGCCTTCTCACTTTACTTTGGTGACCCTCCCCCTTGTGTTTAGGGGTCTTTTTATTGGTGAGACTTTCCGGATTGTTCATTATAAAAGCAAGACATACTCTAGGTAAAAAGAAAGGACCTTAAATGATGCAGGAAAAAGTAGATTCTGCCACTTTTCGTTCCTGTCCTTCTGGGCTTTTTTATGTACTTTTTTATATACATGAGATCAGACTAGACACACGCAACAGAACTGGTTTTTTAACTTCTTTTCCTGTTGGCTGCGTAGTATTCCACTGGTGACTATAATTTATGTATATATGAATAAATATCATTCATTTACTCTGTTGATAGGCAATTTGGGTATACACTATTATTAGCAATGTCAGAGTGAGCATTCTTAGAATTTTCTCGTTGGGTATTTAGCTAATTATTTACTTAGAATAAATTCCTAGAAATAAACTTTCTGGGTTAAAGGTTGTGAGTGTCTTTTGCAGTTTGTTGTGTAACTCCCTTATCTGATTTGAACCACTTACGGGGAACAGCCTCTGCTGAGTGATGGGCATCAAGGCAGCCCACCCCGACAGCCCCATTGTCTGAGCAAGAGATGTGGCTGGGGGAGGGTGTCCTGGAGGTGAATGATGTGTCTGTAGGAGCCAGGTAGGGAGCTGCAGTAATGTGAACAGTGACAGCCCCCAGTGCTGCCACAAAATCATCTGACTGATTTCTGTGTTCTTCTCACAGATCTATGAACTTCGGGTAATGGAGACTAAGCCTGACAAGGCCGTGTCCATCATCGAGTGTGACATGAATGTGAGTGGCTTTGCTGCTTACAGTGTGCTTGGGCCGGAGCAAGATGGGTAGTTCGTGGCCCCTGTAGGCCACTGCCCCAGGAGAGTCTCACTCAGCCCCTGGGACTATTTGGCTGAAAGAGGAGGAAGATGCTGCTAGAACATTGTGAGGGGGCTGCTGACCTTGTGATTCATCTCAGGGCCAGTGGAGGTGGCAGATCAGCCGCCAGTTCTGAGATGGCTAAATCCACCAGCATCTCAGACCTGCTGAGGAGTGAATGTTCTTAGAAGCTAAGGAACACTTCTCAGCTTCTGGGTAGGAAAGAACTATTGGTACACACATGAGCATGGTGGATCTCCAGGGAATCGTGCTGAGCAGAAAGGGCCAGTCCCAAAAGGTTACACACTGTCTGCTTCCGTTTATATAATATTCTTGAAATGATAAAACTTTAGAAATGGACAACAACTAGTGGTTGCTAGGAGTGAGGGATGGTGGAGAGGGCCAGGAGGGAGGTAGGTGTCATTATAAAAGGACAACACAGGGGGCCCCTATGATGGAGGAGCTGTTCAGTATCTGGACTGTGGGAGTGGATACGCCAACCTAACTGGTGATAAAATTGGGAGAACTTAACACAGACACACAGAAGTAAGTATGTGTAAAACTGGGGAAATCTGGGTAAGGGCTGGATTGTGTGGATGTCGATATTCTGCAGGTGACATGCTGTACTGTAATTTCGTAAAATATGGCCATTGGGGAAGTGGGCAAAGTGTATGAGGCATCTTTCTGTATCATGTCTTACACTGCATGTGAACCTACAGTTGTCTCAGTTAAAAGCAGAAAGCTAAGGGAGCCTAAATGTGGCCATGTCTCAAATTTTACTTTCATCTTGGGAATACAGGTGGACTTTGATGCTCCCCTGGGCTACAAAGAGCCTGAAAGACAAGTCCAGCACGAGGAGTCAACCGTAAGTCATTTCCCCAGCGTCTCTCCCCAGTCATGGCATGCTTTGCCCTCTGGAACAGTGCATCCTGGGAGTGTCTCACAGCTGGCCCATGTTTGGCCTCTGCTGGTGCCAACACAGCCACGTTCCCTGCTTCTTGTCCAGCCCTGCTCCCAGGGGACACCCAGCTGTTGGGGTGCAGGGACAGCAGTAGCAATGAGAGGCCCCAGGGAAAAGCTGGGGTGTCCCTGCTGAGAAGCTCATCTGTTTTTCTGTCCCCCTGTCAGGAAGGTGAAGCTGACCATAGCGGCTATGCTGGAGAGCTGGGCTTCCGTGTGAGTACCAGGCCACACATTTAACTTTCTGTGCTCCCGCCATGCCATCTGCTCCTTCCAGCATTCTCTGTAACACTCCGGGGACCTCGGCAGGGATTGGTCCTCTGGTGTTCGTGCACATGTGTATCTGGCTCTGTCTCAGTTGCCAAACCCTTGAACATCCACTTTCTCCTGCAATCCTCCCAACAACTCTGTAAGGCAGCCCCAACTTTTTCTTCTTCTTTTAAAAAATTTCTAGTCCACCAAAAAGTTAAATAGTATGAGAGACACAACATATACTTTTTGCTTGGATTCACCACATGTGACCACATTTGCTTTATCTCTCTCTAAGAGCACGTTCTCTTTTTATTTGTACTGTTTGAAAGTAAGCTGTGACATGACCCTCCCGCCCCTGGGGGGCGACTGTCTTTGGGCCCGGAGGCTCCCGTCAGCTCACAGCAGTCTCCTGAGGGGTTGGGCAGAGAGCTGTCGGCTGCCCGCGCTTGGCAGCTGCGATTGAGAGCTTCAGTCCTGAGGAGATCTGGGTGGTGTCCCCGCGCACATCCCTGCAGCAGTCTGAGCAAAGGGCAACTTTGTGTTTGCTCTTATTCTTGGGGCTCAGTGCACGCACCCTCTCCTGCTTGTCTCCCTAGGCCTTCTCTGGCTCCGGGAATAGACTGGATGGGAAGAAGAAAGGTGTGGAGCCCAGCCCTTCCCCAATCAAACCTGGAGACATTAAAAGGTGGGTCTATCTTTGCTCTGCTCCTGCCCGATGCTTTGTCATCATGCAAGGAGGGTCTACACCAGACCCCTGGGATGGGACAGCCTCACTCCAGCTCTGGAGACAAAGCCTGGATCAGGGAGTCTGGCAGGTGGATGAATGTCCCCCATCTGCTCTCCTTGGTGGGCTGGAGCACGTCGTGGGTCTCTGTTTCCCAGGGGAAGTATATTGATGCCTTTCCCTGTCATCCACCAAGCCTCTCCTCAGGTAATGTTGGCCGTGCAGCCTCCCTCTGTGCCTTTAGTTCAGCCTCCACTACCCGCAAGCGGCACCTGATCAGATCTCTCACTTATTTAAAACCTTTCTGATCCTGGTTAGTAATCTGCCTATTTTCCTGTTTTGTGACTTCAAATAATTGATCAGGTCACATTATCTCAACTTCCTTCAAAGAGGCAGGAGCTGCCTCACTTAGATATGTTTCTGTTGTTTGGTCCAGGGACGCTCAGAGCAGATTCCCTGCTCTGGTGGCCGTCACGGTGGTGGCAAAATGAGATATATCACCTGTCTGCTGCGTGTGTTAGAGCAGAAGGAGAATGTGGGAAATGGGGTTTTTACCTAGACTCTTCAGGAGTGAAATGAGTTTAGTGTGAGTGGAGCTCTTCCAGGGTGATCCATGAGGCTGGAGGACGGAGACGGTGAGGGCCTCCCAAGCCTCCAGGTGACCCCTCACCACAGACAAGGCCTCAAGTCTGCTGACCCCAGCCCTATCCCTCCTGCAGGGGTGCTGGGGCGCACCAGAAGGCTGGCCCAAGGCCAGGGCAAGGTACAGCCACATACCGCAGAATGACAGTCACCAAGAGGACACTTGTCTCTTCTGCTTTGCTTCCTCTTGATTGTTAAAGATGAATTTTAGTCCCTTTTTCCTGGAACTAACATTTCTCTTCCTCTCTTTACAGAGGAATTCCCAATTATGAATTTAAACTTGGTAAGATCACTTTCATCAGAAATTCACGTCCACTGGTCAAAAAGGTTGAGGAAGTGAGTATATTTCGTGGGTAATGAGAAGTATTATTTGCTAGTGATGACTAGGGGAGTTCTTTCCATTCTGAATATGGGTGTTTCTGGCGTCACCTGGCAACAGTGATCAGCAAGATACTAGCTCACAGAGCCCTTGCCAGGTGCCAGACCCCATGCTGAGTGCTTTATACTTAACTCTTTAATCCCTGGGACAGTGCCGTGAGGCCGCTGCTGTGGTTGCATTGTTACAGATGTGAACATAAAGGTGCGTGAAGGTTGGGGCACCCAGGGCCGGGGGCAGAGCTCCTGACCACAGCATGGTCACCTCCGTGCTACCACACTCCAGAAAAGGCCTCTACTGAGACCTGAGGAGAGCAGCCTCCCTGAGCCTGGGAGTTCTCCTGTGACTGGAAGGGAAGGCTGCAGCTGGGGGCCGGAGGTGTTGGCAAAGGGGAGGTTCCACCTAGTGGGCACTTCTTCCAGGTGCTGGAAACTTGCTCAGAAACTCAGCACCCCCTACTGCAGATGGCCCACCTCACTCAGTAGCTGTGGCTGTGTATGCTGTGTATTTCTAGAACACTAGCACTTTAGACCCAACACTTTCCTGGTTCCTTTTCTCAAAAGCTTGATCTCTTGCGGATTTAGGGGGAGGGCAGAGGGCAGGCGTGCTGTGAACCCGTTCAGGATGGGCTGCTAGATGGGACCAGTCACTGGCCAGTTCCTGGCTGTGGCGCTGTCACCAGCCCCTCTTGACCACTGAACCCTCTCTACCTTTGGGCTGGTTGGGGACAGAGACCATTGTGCTGCACACCCCAGCCCCCATCACAGCCCCTCCTGGCCTTAATGTTCCTCAGGTTGACACAGTGTTGGGAGCTTTCCAGGCTCAGAGGAGTAAATGTGGTACCTGATCACACTTTACCCTCCGAGTCCTCCTTGAGGCCCCATCCAGGCCTTTGCCATCTGCAGGCTGGGGCTCACTGAGTTGGGCCTAAAGGCCTCAGTAGGAGTCATCCTCAAAGCTGACTTGTGACCCGACTGTGGGAGATGTATGAAAGGGAGGGGGAGGCTGGCAGGCACAACTGGAGCTGTTTTATCGATAAATAAATATTTAAGAAGAAATGTATGAAGATGAGATTAAAGGCACATACTTAGCTCTACTCCATCCTGAAACCACACTAAAGCTACGGTACAAGGTAATGAAGAAGATGATAAAGACAATGAGGAGAAGAGGCAACTGCAGCAGAACTTTGGAGGCCCCAGAGCAGAAGGACAAGTGGTCGCTGACTTAATAGACCGCGGAAAGCTGCATCCTGAGCGGGCCGTGGGGAAAGCCGAGAGGCAGCTTGGTTAAGTGGTTGAGCTCTCAAAGGGCTCCTCTGGAAATGGGGGCTGAAGACAGAGTGTGTGTCACAAAGCAGTGAGAACCGCAGCCCCCCCTCCCCTCACCCCACTCCAGGGGAAGGCTGGAGGCTCGTCTTCTGGAAAAGGCATCACAAAAGGTTCCTAGGCTGGGGCCACTGGCACAGTGGATAGCAGCATCGAAGTAAGAGAGGGAAGGAGTGATAATTTGCATCCTGAATGTTGCCACCCTTGGTGTCTTTCCCTGCTTGGCTCCCAGGCGCTGGCAGCCAGGCTGGCTTGTTGCAGCTGGAGGAGCTTTCTCTGGACAGTCTGGCGAGCCCCAGGGAAGGTTCCAGCCGGCTCACCCCAGGGTGAAGACCGCAGTCAGAAAGTTTCCACTGCCAATGTCCAAATCCTGAGAGTTCTGAAAAGAGATTAGAGAAACCAAAGGGACAGAAACCATCAGGGAAATAATTGCTCTGAACTGAAGGGCACGAGTTTGCAGATTGGAAGGGCCCACTGAGTGTCCAGCACAGTGAAAGAAACATCTGTAAGCCACTGAGAGAAGCCTCAGAGAAACCAAAACGCTGACACCTTGATCTTGGAGTTCTAGCCTCCAGAATTGGGAGGAGGAAAGTCTGTTGTTAAAGCTGCGGCAGTCTGGGACTTACTTGTTAGGGTGGCCCGAGCGAACTAACACCAACTGAGCTATCAATGAAACGGGCGAGAGTAGAGAAAAGGTATTTTCAGTCACATAAGAGCTCACCAAAAGATACTCCCCATGCACCCTTTCTCAGGAAGCTCCTGGAGGATGTACCTTATTCCATCGCTACTGAAATGATGGAATAAGGTAGAAGTAAGAAAGCCTTGGATCCAGGAAACAAGGGGTTCCCACAGCAATGTGCAGCCCTGGGAGGCTGGCCAGTCCAGGCAGGGCAGCCTGAAGGCCCCAGAAGAGTGCCTTCCTCAAGCAGATGAGATCAGCACACCTGGTGTGATTGAAGGTATGCGGAAGAGAAGCCAGACACAAAATGAAGGCTCTGCAGGAAAGGAAGACTGACTGGCTCAGCTGTGACTCACATTTACATGGTTGCCATCCTGTAAACCCTGTGCAGGCCCTGCTGGGGGTACACCAGCTATATTAGGTGGGGGGCTGGGTGCAGGGATGTGTGTTGGGGAGCTCAGAATCTTCCTTTCCATAGACAACACCTCCAACTGACTAGCAATACAAGCACATGAAAAGATACCTACTATTTTTGAGGGTTCAGAAAAAACAAGCCCGCTTTCTGCTGGTGGGAGAATAGCTTGGTGGAATATTTCTGAGGGCTGATTAGTCATTATATATTAAAAGCCTTAAAAATATGTGCATCCTTTTACCAAGGAATTCAAATAGGAAAAATCAGAGCCGTGTACAAAGACATTAAGCTGCCAACACACCCATTTAAATTACTGCTAACCTGGAAGAAACGCCCAGTGGGGGAAGAACTGTTTCTCCCATGCGATGGAATTCTCTGTAGCCTTTAGAGTGTACCAGATAAATTCATGGACCTGAGACTCGGGAATTAAGTACTAAAATAGTTTATAGAAGCATATATAGAAAAGTGACCGGAAATGTATTTTTTGGGTGGTGATTTTTCTTTCTGGGGTATATTTTATATTTTTTACTTTGAAAATGTGATGGTTCTGTCAAAGGCTATACATTCAATCTGAGAATAAAGGCTGTGGAGGACACTAGTTGTGATTATGTGGTTTTGTTGTGAATTCAATAGATTATGATTTGTATTTATATTTCAAAGACATTCTGAATAATGTAGAAGTCAGGAAAATGGGTGGATGGTCATGAGCCAACAGAATAAATCATTTTTTATAAACTTCCAAGGAGTTTCTGAAACAGTATTTTATCTTCACACCTAGGATGAAGCTGGAGGCAGATTCGTCGCTTTCTCTGGAGAAGGACAGTCGTTGCGTAAAAAGGGAAGAAAGCCCTAAGTTGGGACTCTTGGCTGATTGGAAAATAAAATGATAAATTGCAACATAATGGCTTTTAGTTACTGGCTCTGACGGGGCTGAGACTATCGCAGAGGATGCTCTCTCACTTTAGGTTGGTTTAGAGTTCCTGAGAATTAGCGAGTTTGACCTGGATGTGGAACGGCAGGACTTCTCGGTTGTGTGCTTGATTTGGAGGAAGAAAAAGCTGTCTTTGAGGTTCCTTCTTCGCCATTTCTTTCAGCCCTGGGTGCGCTCCTACTGCCTCAGCGGAAGCAGAGTTCCCTAATTCCTGATAAAAACCAGTAGAGGGGATTGAATTGCTGTAACTTGTGGTGTTCTCTTTCTTTTTTTATTTATCCTTTTTCCTTTCTTTTTCCAGGTCTATAACTTGGATGTTGCCTTTGGCCTAGAAAAAAGTGATTTAAATAGATACTTGTCTATAAAGAGTGGTTAGCCCATTACCCTGGCTGCAATTTAAGTATCTGAGGAAAGGTGTTTCTATTTTTATTTTACATATTGATTTTTTTCAAAAGAACCATTCATCAGGAGGAAATCCTGAAGCATTTCCACTTTTATTTTGATTTCGTTTGGAAATAACTGGCTCCTTAATCTGTTCTATGGTAAAATAACTTTGTGGTGAAGCACAAATGTAAATATTAGAATAAATAAAAGCTAAAGATACGTTCCTCTTTCTCCTTCCCTACCCCGTGCTCCGAGTTTTAATGTATTTAATTATCTTTAATATATTAAATTATCCAAGTTTTGGCTGGCCTGTCTTTACTTTTTATTAGTATTAATTTGGTCTCAGATCTTTTTATAATGTGAGATCTTTTGACTTGTTAATTCAGTTATTTTAATCTTTTGTTCCTTGAAAATAATTCTAAATCAAGAATTTCAAATAAAAACAGGCAATGACTAAGACCTGGATTGCCTCTAAATGTTTGACTAGGTATGTGGAGTGATAGTTGGGCCACTGAACAGGAATTGGAGGAAGGCCTGCTTGCATGTGCCCCTCATTCCATCCTGCATTAGAAAGGAGCCCCTCTGGGGGGCTTCTCCTGGAGAACAAGGCTATCTGACCTTGGGGGTGGGGATGGTCAGGCCCAGCAGGGTCTCTCCTTGTACCAGGTCTCCTGCCTGCAGGCAGAGGGGTCCATTTCTGGATAGGGCTCCTCTCAACACTCAGAAGATGAAAGGATTCCCCTTCATGGGACCCTAGAGTCCACTCATGTGTCCTCAGAGAATGAGCATCAAAGATCTTCATGATGACCAGGGCTGGGCCTTGTGGCCCAAGCCAACATCACTGGCAATGGATGTGATTTCGGAAGGCATGAAGCACTCCTGTGACCTACCTGACCCTCCACTTAAGGGGTCTTGGTTTCACTAGCAGAGGTAGAAGTCCTCCTTGGTGGGTAGGCTGCCTTATTTGCAGGATCACATTGGCTAAGACACTGCCATCTTATGCATAATGAAGAATGTTGGAATAAGATGTTGGCCCTGGGTTTTTGTCTTCCCTAAGCAACACCTACTGTGTATGCAATGAAAGCACCCCTGGTCCTTTGCTGGAGGCACACTCCCCTGCCTGGGTCAGGGGTGGACCCTGTTGGTGGGTCTTCTGGTGACACAGCGGGGTCACCTGGAGCAAAATCTCTGGACGTTACTGCTGTACCCTGGATGCAGCCTTCCTCTCAGTGTCTTCTCCAAGCTTGGTCTGTGAGCCAGCTTGGCAGGATCCCCGTAAAATTGCAGCTTTCTGGCCCACACTCCAGGGAGTCTGACCTAGTCTTACTCCTAGAGTGGCCCCAGCAACCGCCTTGTAAGGGCCTTCTCAGCAGATGATTACGTTCGCAGAAGTTGGAAAACCAACGCATTGGTATTGCAGGGCGTTTCTGCAGGCCCCCCAGACTCTTCTTGACTTTGCTTGTATTGCCTCTTGAGCATCTCTCCTTTATAAACGTTCCATGTCCTTCTTCCCAGCTCTCAGAGTAAAGCTTTCACTCCTAATCAGACATACAAGCCGCCCCTGGGCTTGCAAGGCCCTCTACCCCGTGCCACACACAGCCTCCATGCCTTTGACCGGCTTGCTGCTGTGGTCGCACGATCTTGCCTCCACTTCCAGCCTCGGTTCCCACGCGAGGTCATCCCGCGCCGTGGACCCCACCCCCAACACACACGTCACACCAGCCAACCCCAGCTATTTTGTGAGTCCACCGACCTCGCCCTCGAGTGGACACTCGGGCAGCTTCACTGCACGGAGTTGATGCTCAGATGTGCTTGAGAAATGAACCCGATCTTTGAGATTTATGAAAACAACAAGGTTGCTGAAAACTGGCCTGAACTGCGTGGTTTCAGAAACAGCCAACTTAACGTGGACTTGCAGCCCATCGGCGAAAGACAGCTGTCACCAGCGTGGCCACGCTGGCTGGGCGCGCGGCCTTCTGACCCTCAGGACGCGCCCCGGCCCGCTCCACCCTCGGCCCGGCTCCCCTGCCCTTGGGCCCCGCCCCCCGCGCGCACCCCCGCCCCCGGCTGTTATTGGCTGCCCAGCTCGGACTTCCTGTTTATTGGCGTGTCTCAAGGAGGGGAGCGCGGAGGCGATCGTCATATCTCAGAGTTCATTGGTTCTTGTACCCGTCAATCACTCGGTGCCGGCTTTCTTAAATCGTCATTGGCTAGCGGGCTCAGTAGGCGGGGTTCGGCAGTCGCCGGGACATGGCTGACGGCGGCGGCTGGCGGGTAAGTGTGGTGGGCGCCCGGGACCTGCGGGCCCGGGTCCGACCGTGCGACCGGATTAGCCGAGCCCTGCCCCGGGGGGCCGCGGGGTGGGCCCCGGGGCGGCGGCGCTGCGGTCCGACTCAGACGCACCTCCCCCGCAGCCGCCACGCCCCTGCGAGGCCTACCGCGCGGAATGGGAGCTGTGCCGCAGCGCCGGGCACTTCCTGCACCACTACTACGTCCACGGCGAGCGGCCGGCCTGCGAGCAGTGGCGGCGCGACCTGGCCAGCTGCCGCGCGTGGGAGGAGCGCCGGAGCGCCGGAGCCCAGGTGCGCCGGGGCGGGGTGGCTGCGGCTCCCCGCCGGGGCGCCCGAGGGCGCGGGCCGCAGCCTGCCCACGTTCTCGCCCCAGGGTCTGCAGAGGGGCGCTGCCGGGGTCCCTCTCCTCCTCCTGCTTCCTTTCTTTAGAGAAATATCAAAAATTAGTGTATCGACCGGGCTTTCGGACGGCGTTAAGGACAAAGCGAGGAAGGGGGTGTAGAGCGTTTTGGAGAGAGAGGAGGGACCCCAACAGGGTCGTCAGCTGGCCTGCAGAGGCGGAGATCTCGCTGAGTCTTGAGTGACTGGCAGCCAGCCCCAGCAGACTTCACCCAGCCCCGGGGGGAGGGTGGGCACGACTCAGGAACACAGAGAAGGTCCAGGTGCTTGGAGGAGAAGGAGGGTATGCTGTAGAGGGGTAGGGGATGAGGCTGGAGAGGTACCGGGGACCTGGCTGGCCTTAAAGGGTTTAGATTCCAGCCTAAACGTGTGCTGGGAAGCATGATTTAATTTCTATCTTTAAAAGGTCAGTCTGGCTGCCCGGGTAGGAGAGTGTATTATGGAGGGGCAGGGAGACCTGTACGGAGGTGGTTCCGGTTGTCAGTTGTCATTCAGCAGAGATTGATCATGTTGGGCACTCTTCGGGATACAGGAGTGATGAGAACAGAGCCCCTACCCCCCTGGCACATGCATTCTAGTCTAGAATACCTGGTGCCTTGGAACTGTTGTGGTTGGGGAGATGGAGAAAAGCTGTGAGGGCTCAGTGCTGGCGGGGAGTGCCAGGGGAAGTGGAGTCAGCAGCCAGGCCACTGCTTCAAAGTTGTTATATGTGTGTGGTTATTGAAACAGACAAACTGGTGTGGAAACCAGGCTGCAGAATAAAAGAAAATGGTGACAAGTCCATAATAAGTGGAAGTCCAAAAGGTGGGAAAGATAGCTTCTAATCTATATGGCAAGTGATTAATAACCTTTGTTTGTATGTATGTATATGTGTGTGTGTGTATATATATTTTTTAACTCTTTTTTTTTTTTTGGTGAGGAAGATTGGCCCTGAGCTAACATCTGTTGCCAGTCTTCCTCTTTTGTATGTGGGACGCCACCACATCCTGGCTTGATGAGCGGTGTGTAGATCTGTGCCCATGATCTGAACCCACAGACCCCAGGTCACTGAAGTGGAATGTGTGAAGTTAACCACTATGCCACTGGGCTGGCCCCACATATATGTATTTTTAAAGAGAGCTCTTATGTATCAGGAAGAAAAATGGAGATGATTTGAGAATAGAAAAGTAGGCAAAGGACACAAAAAAGGAATTCAAAAAGAAGACCAAATGGCCTGGTATACAAGTCCAAATGAAAACAAGTGGTTTCTGACAATCCAGCAGAATGTCACAAGTGTCAGTGGGGTTTGGAGAGTCAGGAGTACTTGTGCAGTGTTGGTGGAGTGTCGTGTTCTGATTTCCTAAAAGTCAAATGCATACCTTTTGACCCCACAGTTTTACTTCTGGAAGTTTATCCTAAGGAAGTAATTGGGTAACAGTGCACAGTTAAAAGTTCAAAATGTCCAGGGGCTAGCCTGCTGGTGTAGTGGTTAAGTTTGCATGTGTGTCTTCAGCGTCCTGGGCTTGTCAGGTTCGGATCACTGGCGTGGACTTACACATTGCTCATCACTCCATGCTGTGGCAGCATCCCACATACAAAAAGTAGAGAAAGATTCGCACAGATGTTAACTCAGGGCCAATCTTCCTCACCAAAAAAAAAAAAAAAAAAAAAGTCCAAAATGTCCATTGTGCCACTGTTTGTGATAGCGCCAAAACTGAAAGTGTCCTAAATTCTGCTAATAGACATTTGACCAAATAACTTCCACACAGTGGAGTACTACATAGCCATTAAAAAGAATAGATAGTAATCTATCCAGGCATGCAAGGGTGCCTACAGTATATTACTTAGTGAAAAAAGTAGCAAGTATAACAGTAGAAACTTATTCTTTCTTTAGGGAATGTGATAGCTCTAGAATTTGGACCTAAAATTCTGTGGGGAGATAATACCTTCACCTCAGGGCTGGAGGTCTGGGAGTCTTCCATATTCTACTTTGCATTTCTGATTGCTTTTTAAACAAGAACAAACCATTTTGTTTGAAACAATGGAGCTTGTGCGCAGACAGACAAGTGGACAGCTGGAGAAGGTGAGAATATATGTGTAGAGAGGCCAGCATAGCGCCTCCCAAGAGCCCCTCTCGTGGTCGTGATGTACTGCCCTGTGCTTATTTTTGGGGGAGAGTGACAGAGAGAAGCTAGTGGACTGGGTGACATCTGTTGTCTGTCTGGACTCCTCGTCTGTCCAGGGCTCTCTGGGCATGTGTCTCTGGCCTCATCTTCCCCCTTCTGGCCACTCTTTCAGACCCTCGTCCCTCCTCCCAGCTCAACCCGCAGCCCTGTCTTAGCAGGTGAATCTGAGTAGGTCAACTGAAGGCATCGAGCCCTGAGCCCCAGGAGAAGACATTTTAAAATTTTCTCAAATTATGGTGATCTACACAAGTTTTTCACAGTAGCTTGGGAGAAAGAATGAGCTAGATCCGTGTGTGCTAAGAGGGAACAATCTCAAGGTTCACTGGGTAGAAGCAGCTGAGTTTCAGAGTGCTGCCTGCCATATGTGCCGTTTGTCCATCTGTGTTGGGGGTGCTGAGGAGGAGGGAGGTACAGGGGCCATGTGAGGGCCCGTGTGAGGCGGGAAGTGACCGGGGTCTCCTTTGTACAGCGGTCCCTCTGCGAGAGCGAGCGTGCAAGAGTCGAGGCTGCACGGAAGCATGCCCTCGTGTGGGCCCCAAGGCAGAGCCCCCCGGCAGACTGGCACCTCCCTCTGCCACAGGAGGAGAAGGACCAGTGATGAGCACCCCTGCACGGCCTCCTCTGGTCTGCTTCAAGTGGGGCTGGCACCCGACGCTAAGGACTGTGACCAACCCAAGCAGTCGAGTGGCTCCCTGGGAGCTTCTGCCTGGCTCGGAACATGGAGCACGATGGCTCAGCCCCGCTTGGCCAGCCCTGCCGTGCACTCAGGGCGCTCCACTGCTGCCACGCTCTGAAAGACAGCTTCCAGGAAACCAAGCACCACCAGACCCCTGTGAGCAGCCAGGTCAGGCTGGCTCGTGCTCGCCCCTGAGGACAGTAGCACAGGAGCTGACCGTCCCAAGGTCTAGAATTCTCAGGTAAACTCTTGAGTGGTAGTGCTGACCCCTGTGGACACTTAGGGGGTCAGAATGTGGTAGCTAAATGGTTGTGCTGCTGTGAATGCCTTACTTGGCCCTGGTGTGGTGATGACTTCATTGCCAGCCACAGGCCACTTGCTCAGTTCCTCTGCAGGCACAGGCAGGGCGTGTCTCGGGACCAGCACGCTTCACCTCGGTGCACAGGTAGGCCCCTTGGAGACCGTATTTAAGAAATGCACACAGCTACAGAACACACAACCTGGCATAAAAAGGGTTCGTGGACTCTTGGCTTAAAACACCCAAGCCGAAGACATGGAATTTTGGTCTCCTTCCCTCAGAATTTCCCCTGGTCATTTTTAGAAAATGTAGAATGTATCAAAAGCCATCTCAAACGTTTGATTCCAAATAGAAGCTGAAAATTAAAACCACAATTTAACTGTTGAAATGGTTAGATTTTGCATCTGACATTGTGCTCGAACACTGTTAGACTTTTGTATGCTTATGCTCTTGTAGATGTTTTTAAAATATATCTATGTGAACCAACAAAAACTCTAGTTCTTGAAGAGGTCTCTTTATTATTGATAATGTGATTTAGCATCTTGTGGCTGCAGAGCAGGCCCCAGTGTGGTGCTCAGGGCCAGGCCAGCCACATGCCCAGTGCCTTCCCCACTGTCTTCCTGGCCAGCAGGACCCACTGTGTCCTAGTACCTCCCTCATGACTGGGCCCCAACCTTGCCACAGGTGGTGAGTCAGACATCTTTTAAATAATTCTTTGGGGCAAAATAATCCATGACTTCATAAGGGTATACATTAAAGAATGAAATTTCCCCTCTTGTGTATGTTCTGTGTGCCACCAGAATCCCTGTGATTGTGTCCCCCTGTGAGTGGTGGGAGGTGTGCACATAGGACCCTGCTAGTCCCTCTGTGTGTGTGTGTCCCTGTGAGTGGTGGGAGGTGTGCACGTAGGACCCTGATAGTCCCTCTGTGTATATGTGTGTGTCCCTGTGAGTGGTGGGAGGTGTGCATGTAGGTCACCAGTAGTGTGTCTGTGTGTACCTATGAGGGGTGCTTGCAAATAGGACTCCAGGAACAGAGGCGAGTCTAAAGAAGAGGCAGGGTCTCCCCATCCCCAGGGGGCCTTGAGGTGTCTAAGCCAACGATGGTGTCTCCATCCTGGCACTGGCTGGGAGAGAGGGAAGGCTGCCAGAGCTCTGTAAGCGTTCTCCTCACTCTGAAACATGGGGCAGGGACATTTGAGTTTTGATCAGCGTGTGATGCCTGGAATTGCAGCAGCTCTTTTGGGGTTCCTGGGGGCAGGGCTGGGGCAGGCAAGAAAAGCCTGGGAGCAGCGGCTAACATTGTAGTCCTGAGGGACTCAGCTCATGGGAGCCAAAGTCCCCCTCGTCTGCTTGTGTAGAGCCGTGGGCTGCCTGCAGCTGAGTGCTCTGTTAGGAACCTTCTCAGCTACTCAGTGATTTCCACAAGGAGAGAGAACCATCTCTCTGGACAGAATATTCCTGAATCCCCACCTGTGTTCACCTGTTCACATCTTCTGAGCACCCACTGCACGCCAGGTGGGGTTTGAGGTTCTGGATCACAGTGTTGAAACAGACAAGTTGCCTTCAAAGAGTTCTGGTTGTGGTGTAGGGGCCAGGCATAAACATTTAAACATCGTTAAATAAGTGTCTAAATGATGGTAAGTGCTGTGAAGAAAATGGTCAGAGTGATGAGATAGAGTAGTGTATTTCAGCTTTTGAGATAAAACTGATAGTAGCAAGTGTATTATGTTATGGTCTGGTACCTACTGTTACATTCAGCATATGTTTTTGAAAGAAGCTTCATAAAACAATACTTACTGTACTGTGGGTGATAAACATTGACATTTTCAGTTCTGTGCCATTGAAAATAAACTGCTGTATATGCAATTTGGATGAACTCAAGGAAATTATGCTGAGTTGTAAAAAAAAAATCTTAAAGGGATACATATGGCATGATTCCATTTAGGTAACATTGGTGAAATCATGTAATCAGAGATGGAGAACAGTTAATGTTGTCGGGGATTAGGGATGGAAGGAAGGGGTGGGTGTGGCTTTAAAGGGGTATTTACCATCCTGTGGTGATGGTACCTTGACTGGTGGTTACACAGGGCTGCACATGATAAAATTGTGTAGAGCTAACACACAGATGAGTGCAGACATAATGGGGAATCTGACTGTGCTCTCGGCTGTAATGGTGTCACTCTGGGTCCTGATACTACTTGGTGTGTAAGATGGTAACACTGGGGGAGGCTGGGGGAACTGCACATAGCACCTGCCTGCATATTTATGTCCAACCTCCTGTGAATTTCAAAATAAAAAAGTGCTGGCCATGGCCCACTGAATTGGTTATACAGCCTAACACATAACACCTACTGGTTCAAAAGCACTCCTGCCAAGTACCTGCAGTGGGCGGGGAGGCAGGGAAGGCCTCAGTGTCTGAGCCTTGGCCTGGAGGAGGGGGCTGGAGCTTTGCATGGCAGAGAAAGGGGCCACAGGCCCTGAGCAACAAGTGCCATGTGCCGGCGGGGGCGGGGCATGGGCATCTGCAGTCAGGTCTGGACAGGATTCTCACCTGGAGGTAGCACAAGGCCTGCCTGACTCCCGTTGACAGAGCCTGTGGCTGCTGCGCAGGAGGAGCTGGGGGAGCGCCCAGCCTGGACAGGTCAGCTGGCTGCTGCAGTGGAGCAGGCAGAAGGCCACGACAACTTGGGTCACAGAGATGGCAGTGAGGTTGGGAAAAGCCGCTGGCTTCAGTATTTGTCTCACTGGCAGAGCCAAAGCACTTAAAACCCTCAGGCAACATTTTTATCCAGTGAAAACATTTATCTGGTAAGAGTTTTTTTTTAAAGTCACTGATTTCTTTTTAAAGATTGGCACCTGAGCTAACATCTGTTGCCAATCTTTTTTTTTTTTTCCTCCTTCTTCCCCAAAGCCCCCCAGGACATAGTTGTAGGTTCTAGTTGCAGCTCCTTCTGGTTGTGCTATGTGGGACTCTGCCTCAGCATGACCTGGTGAGTGGTGCTAGGTGCGTGCCCAGGATCCGAACCCGCAAAACCCGGGCCGCCAAAGCAGAGCGCGCAAACTCAACCACTTGGCCCTGGGGCCAGCCCCTGGTAAGTTTTTTAACCAAAAGTGAACCACACACTAGGAAAACAGACCCTCTGGATTCTTATGCAAAGAAAATGTTTCCCTGGTTTATCTGCACTAAGGTAGTGAGGAGCCGAAAGCCTTTCTGAGGTGGGGATCAAGGCACTAGGAGGAAGGGCTGTTTTCACACTGGGCTGAATTGTGCCCTCCTAGGGGGTTAGAGGTTGAAGCTCTAACCCCTGTACCTCCCAATGTGACTGTTTGGAGACAGGGTGCTTAAAGAGGTAATTAAGTTAGAACGAGGTCACTAGGGTGGGCCCTAATCCACTGTGACTGGTGTGTCCTTATTAAAAGAGATGAGGATACAGGCCCAAAAAGATGACCATGTGAGAACACAGGGAGAAGGTAGCCCTCTGCAAGCCAAGGAGACAGGCCTCAGGAGAAACCAACCCAGCAAGACACCTTGATTTTGGAGTTTTAGCCTCCAGAATTGTGAGAAATCAATTTCTGTTGTTTCGGCCACACATTCTGTGATATTTTTTCTGGCAGCCCCAGCACACTAACATGTTTACTGTTCCAAACTAACAGCCCTTGAGCAAAAGCCTGAGAGCCCTCTGCCCTAGTCAGGCATCACGCCCTCTTGGGGGACACAGCAACTTTGTTAACTAGTATGTCCCTGGCTTGCTCCACTCTCTTCAGCCTCCCTCCCCAGCTCAAAGCTGGCCCTGCTGATAATACAAGGAAGCTCGTGTGCTCCGTCTGCCCACTGGCAAGGCCCTGCCCCTGTTCTGCACACATAGCACACGGCCTACACGTCCTTCACCTTTGCTCCTCCAGGTCACTTTGTGCCTCTCGCTGGTGGAGCCTGCCCCACACAGTTGGAATATCCCTTTTTACTGGGGGGCAGCAGGCGACGTCTTGGTCATTTCTCCCCAGGACCTGGCAAAGAAGGGCAGTATCTCTCGCCCCCTTCCATCCTCAGGTGAATTAATTTCGACTCTAACATAAGACAAAGAGACACTTGATTAAACTTATATTTATTCACAGCATGCCTGATTCTGTGACAGGCAGGCTGGAGCCTGGGTCCGTCTGGCTCTCAGGGGCAATGTGTTCTGTGGACGGCTGCCTGCAGCTCTATCTCTTGAACTCCACCTGTGTGTATACCTTGGTGATGTCCTGGTACCTGCCTTCAGGGGGCTGGTAGTTGGAGACCGGTGGCGTGTAATCTGGCCCTTCTCTCTCAAAGGGGAACAGACAGGGGTCCCGCTTGATGGCCTCCTCATGGAGCTCTGGGGACATGAGTTGTAGCTCCTGCAGAGCTTCCTGCTGGGCCTCAAGCATGGACCTGATGGTGTCCCTCTCCATCTCATGCTCTCGCTGCTTGTACAGGGACCACTTCTTCAGGAGCAGAGCTCTCCGCTCGCCTTCCTCAAAGGGGAGCTCTGTGTGAGGCCGCTGTCTGGGAACACACAAATCCAAAGGTGGGAAGCTGGGGAGCACTGACCTTCCTGGCCAGAGAGTCTCGGTAGTCACATATGACGCAAGCCTCCCATTGCCAATCACAGATGGAACTTAGGAAAGAAAGTGGGAGTTTGGGACAAATTAAGGAATGGAAAGTTGAATGTTGTGGCAGCTGCAAGTGATGCTGGAAACCAGTGCCATTTGCTTTACATGAAATAAGAAACAGTGATGCTCTGAGAAGACTAGTAGCACTTCCTCTGCCCTAGGCAGAGACTACCTTTGGTGAGAGGGGACTTTGGAGAAAAGTGAAATAGTGTTATGAAAATGGACACCAAAATCCCAAGGAGTCAAGAGCCCATATCAGCCTTTGGGTACCAAAAAAGCACCTGCCGTGTCCAACTTGTAAGTAGAAATGGTATACTTTTTTTTTTTACAAGAAGGAAGCAACCCTGCCAACCCTCATGCAACACATCCCAACTGTGAGCATTTGCATCATAAAGCAAGGGGCCAAGGGTTTTCTACCATCAGGATGGGGCAAGGGCTGCAGACCCAAGGCCCAAGTCATCAGCCACAGCTGAAACTCCTCGTGCAAAAGAGTAGCAATATGAACTCCCGAGCAGTGCTGATAGGCACTCATTCAAGCATCTGGCCTGGCTTATCACAACTATTCTGAGTTTCTTTACCACATTCAGCCATTCAAGAGCACCACCCAGGAATGCTTTCTCCAACTCCCACAAGACACATTCACAGAGAAAAGGAGTCAGGGCCAAGTCAGCCCAAGCCTGCTCACCCCTTCCCATCACAGGCGTGAACAGCAGACAGAACTTCCTGAAGGTGATGGAACTCCTTTGCCCTGAGGAGCTCAACCCTAGAGGACCCTTACCGTGCTTGATCCAAGAACTTCACAGGTGTAATAAAATCTTCAATGGGAATTAGCTCCTGGCTAGCCTTTTCCAGTCGTCGGATCCTCTTTTTCAAACGGTCCTTTACTGCTTGGTCTTTTTTAGGATCTACCTTCTTCTTCTTTCGCAGAGGTTCTGCTCTGATGGATGAAGCAAACATTAATTTTCCTCTTCAGTCTCACAGACATGCTGAGAGACATGGAGCTAGGTAGAGTGCCCCAACTTATCCTGAGCTCTCCACTGGGGAAGGAACTACATGGGCCTGCCCGCATGAGCTGAATGTGGCAGGGAGACAGCCTCCACCCCAGGGTCCTGGTGAGAAGTGTGTGAGCCCTGTCAACCCAGGAAGGGGTGAAAAAGCTTCATGGGGCGTCAGGGTATAAATTAAGGGGAAGCACTCATCTTTAGTGCTGGGGTTGAGGTATGCCTTGGGATTGCACTGAAAAGTGAAAATGCCAAACTGATAAATTAGAAGCTCCTTACTCACATTTTAAATGGATTTGTGATTTATAAAAATGATTTGAGTAAGACTAAAAGAGACAGTATAATAAAAGTTACTGGCATGTCCCTATTTACTTTCTGTGATTTCTTAACCAATTTCCCCATCCTAGAGCATTGACAAAAGTCTGATTTACTCTCAGGAAAACATCTCCTATGGTGATAATTTACTATTAGAATAATCAAATCATCTAGCATCAAGACCAAATTTTAGGAATCAAGTCCCTAGAAAGCATCCAAAGTCACAGGTGGAAAAACTAATCCTCGCATCTCCCCCACCTCTCTAGGGAATCAGAAATGGAAGGCCCACAGAGAAATAGAAGTTTATGCTGTGCCCTTTAAAACACAAGAATCCCTTCAAAGCTAATTAATTCTTATTTAAACTCCTGGCTTTTTTTGTCTTTTGTTTTTGCTGAGGAAGATTCGTCCTGAGCTAACATCCGTTGCCACTCCTCGATTTTTTGTACGTGGGACGCCTCCACAGCAGGGCCGCCGAGTGGTGCAGGTCTGGCCGGGCTCCGACCCCGCAAACCGGGCGCAGAAGCGGAGCGCGTGGCACTTTAACCACTCGGCCACCGGGCGGCCCTATATAAACTCCGTTTACATGTAACATTTGTTTTCTGATTACAGACACAGCGGTATTCCATAGAGAGAGTGTTGAAATGGCAGAAAACCATCTGCCTAAATTTGAGAAATTATAGGCGATTAATTCTGCAAACGTCCAGTAGTCTTGCTTTGTTCTGTCCAAGTGCACATCCGTCCCCACTGACACCCACAGAGGCCAGGCCCACGGCTGAGTACCTCATGGGAACGAGATCCCAGAAGGACAACAACGAAGCTCGCCGGCGGGTGTCTCTAATCTGTGTCTGCCAAGTTCCCAGAAGCCTGAAAGAGACGAGCATTATAAATACCTGATTCTCCCCCACTAAAGAAAAAGAAGAAAAATTTACGATGCCCTCAAAACCTGGGGTACGCAGAACTGCTGGATGTGACAGCAAGGTGACATGTGGGAGGTCCTTCCAAATCCCCCATTCGCACCAGAGGGCACTCGGGCAGGGGCCCCGCTGGCCAAGGCCCTGGCATTTTAACCCACAAGAAGAGGCGCAGTCAGCTAGCTATCCGTGGACAAGGGCGGCCCCCGGGCAGAGGATGCAGGCCAGGTCCGGCCTGCCCGCACCGAACCCCCGCGAACCAGCCGCGGTCCGCACTCACCAGCTCCCCGGGCGCAGCACGCGCGCGGAAGCGCCCAGCGCCGCGGCCATGGCCCCTTTGGCAGGCGACGGGCGGCTTCCGGGCGCGCACCCCTCTACGGTCCGGCCCGCGGTGCCCTACGAAAAAGTCCGGCCGTGCCGCCGGTCCGCAATCCCGCGTTCCGGCCCCGAAGAGCTGAGCCTCGCCTGGCCCCGCCCCCGACGCAGCCCCGCCCGTACGTCCCGGCGGCGCTTGGGCACGCCCCGAGCGCCTCGCACCTCGCGCTGCGCGGCGGCCTCTCCTTGGCCTGCGGCCGGCACCGCGGGATCTCCTCCGCCGCAGGCACGTCCCCGCCAGCGTTCCCCTCCGTGGTCGGCCTGCGTCCCTGCGAGGGCCAAGACCCCGCGGTGCGGCCGGAGTGGCCGAGTGGGTGCCCCTCGCCTCCTCCGGGCCCAAGTGTCCATGTCTGTGAAAACGCCCCGATCTCCCAATAAACACGGCCGCCTCGGGCTCCCCGTGACTCCCCCCGGGGCTGGCTAGGGCCCCCCGCATTCGTTCGAGCCCCGGGCGCGGCCGCCCCCCGGTGGGTGCATCCCGGCGCCGGCACGTGGCCTGGAGCTCGCGAGATGCCCAATAGACGCATGTTGATGAATGACGGAAGCTAGTTAATTAGCTGGACTCGGGACCGGCGAGGTGGAGCTGGTGAGCGACCGTGCACGCCGTTCCCGACCACGCCTGGCTCCTCCGGGCCGGGCTGCAACTCCAGGCCCGCTCGCCCGCCGCGCTCCCAGCCGACCCTTCTCTCCTCGGCCGTCGCGCCCGGGCCGGATCCGAAGCGGAGCCGCCCTGCCTCGCGCTGACCGCGGAGGAGCCGGGCGGCCCCGTCCGCGCAGGGAGCGGTTTCCCGCCGGGGCGATTTGGCAGGTGCGCGCCGTGACTTCCGGCGTTGCCCGGGAGCCGCCGGAGGAGGAGCGGCGCAGGGGATGCGGCTGTGGCGGCGGCGGCGGCGGCCGAGCGCGGGGGGCGGCTGTGGCGGCGGCGGGGGGCGCGGGCCGGCGATGGCGCGGCGGCGCTGAGGACGCGGGGCGGGCGACGGCCGGAGGGCGGGCGGCGCGGGAGGAAGCGGCGGCGGCGGCGGCGGCTCCATGGCCCGGGCGCGCTGAGGAACGCGGCTCTCGCCTCAGCCCGGCGGCGGCGGTGGCGGCCGAACAATGAAGCTCCTGAAGCCGACCTGGGTCAACCACAATGGTGAGTGCGCGCGGGGGTCGCGGGGGGCCGGCTCGGCAGTGGGCCGGGGGCTGGAGGCAGGTCGGAGCCGCGTGCAGGGCCTGCCGCCCGCTCCCGACGCCCGGTGCCCGGGCTGCGGGACAGGCGGGAGCGCACTTTGCCCTCGGCGCGGGGAGCCCCGCGAGCCCGGGCACGTGCTCCGCGCGGCGGGGCGAAGGCCGCTCGCCCCCGGCCTGGGGCTGAGCTTTCGCCGCCCACCCGCGCTTCGTGGCGGGGAGCGGCCCTGGGCGCCGCCGGCTCCTGCCGCTCGTCTGCCTCTGCCGGGATGTGCTCGGATGGTCCGGTGTGTGAACCAGGGGGTAGTCCTGTGGCCGTTCGGTGGCGGGGTGAAGACCTGAGATCTGCACGTCTCTGCCGTGACTGCCCCTGCCGAGGCCTGCATCTGGTGACAGTGCCTCCATTTGGGGGACTGTGGCTCAGGGCTGAGGTGCCCCAGCCGAAGGAGCCGCGTTTATGCTGAGCTGGGGCGTTCGGGCGACTTGGGTTGGGGCCTGTAGAGCACAGGTGCTCTAGGAGAGGGCCTTCTTTGACGTTGTGGCAGTGGCCCAAAGCGCTCCCTGGGGATGGGCTCTTCCCGTCCTCCGGTTGGGAGCAGACCCTGGGGCAGAGAAGCCCGCGGTAACCAGTGGTTTTGTCCTAGCTCTGCTCTGCTGGCACAGTTGCTGCGGGAGTTGGCCTTTGCTCCCCAAGGAGGGGAGGGGAGGGGAGCCCCCATCTCCCTGCTGGCAGCACTGAAGCCCAGGGAGCTCCCTCCAGCCTAGGACGGTAGCCCTGCGTCCAGCGCCTCTCTGATTCTGTCTGGTTCCTTATTTCTACTTTGCAGTGCGACTAGAGGGAGCTACAGTTTTCTTTAGAGCAAGTAGAGTGGATGCTCTTGCCTTTTTTATACATCTAGCTTTTTAGTTTGTGACTTGATCCCATGATGCTTTCTACTATTGTAACTAAACTGAACTGAACATGTCTGTGTTCTCTTCGGTTGGAAGTGCTCTCTCCTTCCATCTTCTTGTGTGACATCTTTCTCATTTTTCAGAGCCCAGGTGACGTCACCTTTTCCTTTTGTTACCATTTCTCCTGAGTTATTCCACTAACTCTGTCCCTGTGGGTGTACTTCCCATATGCCCCCCAGGGCAGGGACTGCCTCACTCCCCCCTGTGTTCCCTGCCACACACTCAGCAACGCCTTCTATGTAAAAACTACATGGCAAATGTTGGCTAACACAGGTAAGAAGATTAATGTTTTCATAATTGACGAAGACACAACTAGGTTCATGGTGCATGAAAGCAAAAATGGTGAGCTTCAGTTTCACTTCTGCTGTGTTGATCTCCAAGAGCATTTCTGGATGTATAGTGTGCAGATCTTCCCCTGGAGAACTCGCCGAACGTTCAGTAATTATAGATTGTGGTGTTTGTAAAGTAGGGAAGGAGAGGTTTTCTTATGAACTAGTTTGCTGTGTAAGTGAAGGTCTGAAGGAATCTTTATTTCAAAATGCTTTGCCTCGATCAGTATGTGTGAATAGTCTACCCTTCTCCAGTCTCTCTTTTGCCTTCTGTCATATAATTTCTAAATTCGTGATAGTCTCCTTTGTAGAATACAAGTTTTATGCTGTGTAAGCCTAAGTCAGTCAAGATGCTTAAGTGACTGTCTAGGTACAAATAAGTGAGAATTTGCAGCCAGGCCAGCAGCCAAACATCCCAGCCTGGCTAACATCTGTTGCCAATCTTTTTTTCCTCCTCCTTCTTTTCCCCAAAGCCACCCAGTACATAGCTGTATATTCTAGTTTAGTTGTAGGTCCTTCTGGTTGTGCTGTGTGGGACGCCGCCTCAGCATGGCCCGAGGAGCGCTGCTAGGTCTGCGCCCAGGATTGGAACTGGCAAAACCCTGGGCCACCGAAGCAGAGTCCGCAAACTTAACCATACAGCCACGGGGCCGGCCCTGGGACTTAACTTCTTTTTAACTTGTACTTTGTAAAATTTCCCTTTTTTTTTTAAATCTCCTGAAATCAACCCCTGTCTCGTCTCATTGAGTGTTCAAAAGTACTGTCAGGGGAAAGTACCACTATTCTGAAGGACATGATGATGGTCTGGGTCACTACTGAGCAGTCCTTTAAAGACGAGTGAATGGTGGAAGCTGTTGAGGGCAGGGGCTACTTAGCCACAGTGCTAGGTAGTGGCCAGTAAAATCGAGCTTACTTTGGATTAACAAACTAAAAAGCCCGTGGTGATTTGGCGCGTGCATCATTGCTCTTTCTGGCTTCCTGACTCTGTATTCATGTCTCCCAACTCATTTTGCAGATTGAACGTATTTGTTCAGGTGTCTGAGAGTCCAAAGAGGAAAGGAGCAGAGAGCCCAGCCTTTTCCCCATGGTGGTGGGATCCATTCAGACAGAGTGGAGAGGGCAGCTGGAATAGAGCAGGTTGAAGGCAAAGGGAGAACTATTTTGGGGGGGATAGGCATACTTTTGGTCTTCATTTTCCTGGTTGAAAATAGTGGTAAGACCGTTCCTCTAGGGTAGGGTTTCTTAGTCTCAGCACTGTTGATATTTTGAGCCATATAATTGTTGTGGGAAATGTCCTATGTGTTGTAGGATGTTAACAGCATCCCTGGCCTTGACCCACCAGATGCCAGTAGCGCCCCACACACACCCAATTGTGACAACCAAAAATGTCTCCAGACATGGCCAGTGTCCCCTGTTGGCCAAAATCACCCCTGGTTGAGAATCACTGCTCTCAGGGGATCAGTAAGTTTATAAATCTTAAAGTTGTCACATCACAGTGAAATGAGCCTTGACCATGACATCAGACTGGCTTTAAGATGCCATCATTCATTAGCTGTAGATTCTTTGGCTTGTGTCTTTACTTCTGGCCTTGGTCAAGCTAAATAAATATAAAGACTCATTCCTATCATTTCACTCTGTAGCCAAATATAGACGACTGTCTTAAATTAAGATGTATAATAAGAGCTAATAATACTTATCACTTATATAGAAGCTATGTGCAGGGCACTGTTCACACACACACACACGTTTTACTCTGTGTTCTTGGATATAGTATTTCTTATATATTTAATTTTATTTTAGGCTTGGCTAAAATAAGGTTAATTTCTAATTTAGGTTATGACCATATATTAGTCAGAGAGTGAAAGTGGTTGGGGTTTTTAGTTGTAGAAAACATAATTTGTTTAGAAAATTTCATTGAGATTCATAGTTCTTCCCATCCCTCGGCCTTTGTTCCTGAGAGTTTTTTCTGTAATTCTCATTCCTGGGCGGACAGCACTCGTGCTCAGCTCTTCAGTAAAGCCTGTTCTCACTAGAAGGGCCGAGACTGAAAGCAGCCTCTTCCTCCTTTGGCCTCTGGCTCGTGCTTAGATGGGAGTGTAGGGGAAAGGTGTTTGGCAGATTTTCAGTACTGGGATAATTGATCAGTTAATCACATTGCTTTATGGTGTGTTTTTCTCCTGTCCTGTGATTGGATTATTTTTTTTTCTATCCTGTCTCATTCCAGAAAGGATTTTAAGACACACTACTGAGACATATACTGCATCTGGATAAAAATAAATAAGTCAGCTTGAAGGGGAAGTGTGGGCAGGATGAATGTGGAAAGGGCCTGCACAGCTGCTGGAGGGGCACTGCAGACCAGTCTCTGAGAACAGGCGGGGCGGGATCCTTACGGTGATCCGTTATGATTACAGTGGGCGTTAAGATAAACTTCGCCGTTGCTCTAGATCAGGGGTTCTCAAACAGGCCAATGTCTGGAGACATTTTTGGTTTTCATAGCTGAGTGGGTGAATGCTACTTGTATCTAGTGGGGAGAGGACAGGACTGCTGCTGAACATCCTGCAGCATGTAGGACATTTCCCCACAACAAAGGATCATTGAGCCCAAACCGTCAGTAGTGCCCAGTTTGAGAAACCCTGCTTTAGATAAGGACTTCTTTGTTGTTATTTACCTTTTTATGTATTTGTCTCATCATTCCAACTAGATTGTAATCTTTTGACGACAAGAATTTTGCCTTTTCTTTTCGAGTCAGACAGCCCTGTTCTTGAGTCTCTGTGCTCTGCTGCTCACTAAATATGTCACAGAAGATGTTTTTCATCTCTTTTCCTGATCTGTTAAATGAAGCCAATGGCACCGGCCTCACCTGCCACCTGTGAAGGCTCAAGAAATGCGAGCTCTCTCCACTCTGTCCCTCACTGTCTCACTGACCTGAAGGCAGAAGGTGAACTTAAGAAAATAACCAGACTACCTCTGAAGAGGATTCAGAAGAAAACTGGATGGGCTTTGCTTTGGAGGATACGCATGTGGATTTTTCACTGATTTATGCACCAAACATTGAACCCTTATGGAGAGAAGTTCTTTGGGGACTAGAGGAAAATAAGGCTATCCCTGTGTATGGAAAGCTTTGCGGTAGGTGGGAGACAAGGCGTATGCACCACATTCTAGAGTGCAGGGCAGATGGAAACCAGAGCTGCGTGAGTGAGCCACGATAGCCCCAGGGAGGACCGCCTGGTTAGTGGGTGTGCCCTTGGGCTGAGCCTTGACCAGAGAAGGATTGTGATGGCAGAGAAAGTGCTGCCTCTGTGGAAGCATCAGGAGCAAAGGCCTGGGGTTGAGAGCATTTAGGAGAAGGCAGAGCATCTTACGGAGTGAGACTGAATGGGGGAAGGGAGAATGGGGCTGGGAGGCACAGCCTTGAGCACCTTTCTAGAAGCTTGGCCTCCTTTCTGGGGGTTGGGGGAGGGAAGGATTGAGGTTTCTCAAGAGGCTGGATGTAACATCCAACCTGTGTCTCTGGAAGGCCCTGGAGGATTTAAAAGGCAGTTCCCTAGGTCTTGGTGAGAGGTGATGAGAGAAACAGGAAGGTCACTGGTGGTGGAGGTGAGAAGGAGTGGGTAGGCACTGAAGACAGGGCCAAAGCAGGTGACTGTAGATTTGGGTCCCTTAGTATGTTGGAGAAAGAGTAGGC